GTTAGTTGCTCAGTATCCTTCATTAGATTTTGAACACTTTTGTTGCTTCAAACGAACAAAATGCACTAATTACAAATGATGGACTATAGCTTTAACATAGGCCCTAGTGGGATTTGTAATTTTTGAACCACTTGCATACATACATTGAATGAGTTCCAGCTGTTCGCTTCACTGATAGTTGGTTGCAATCTGCTATGGGCCTGCACATTACTGATGTCATGGCAGGTTCAGGTATTGGCAATCTGCTTTTACTAAAATACATTTGAACTCCAGCATCTTATGCTGTCAATATTTCTTGACATCAAATCTCCTTGGCATTTCAGTGAAGTAAATGTATGAACAAGCCTTAAATCTGCTCTACAGTTTAAACACTACACAGCTCCCCCTACGTGGATGGCTTGCACTCATCAGTTACCAGAAAACATTGTTCTTGACAACTTTCCAACGATTGACTCCCTTCTGGTTCAGGATGTGCATACTGCTGCCCTTGTGCTGATGGCTCGGTGCCAGTCAGCCCGGGACATTGTTCCCGAGTACTTGCAAGTGACTGCTGGCTCTCTGCTGGTTCTGGATGTACACACTGTTCCCCTTGCATGGATGGCTTGCAGTCCGTCAGACTAGAGCATTGTTCCTGATGAGAACTTGCAAGTGCTGGGGTCCCTGTTGGTTCTACATGTACCTCAACATGCACTTGAACATGCTGCTGACTGTGCATGGATGCCTTGCTGCTGCTTTGCCTGGAACATTGTTCTTGACAGCTGTCCAGTGACTGCTGACTCTCTGTGTGTTGTGCATGCCCTTGGCTTGGTGGCTTGCTGCTGCTTGGCCTGGCAGCACGGTGCTCTTGGTCATTTTCTGCCTGTGGTATCACACGAAGCTCAATATGCTTCCCTGGCTGTGACGGTTGGCTGGGATTCCGTCTTGGGCAACAACGGCAGCACAGTTTCAGGAATGAGAAAGCCTTGACTACAGCATCACGATAGTCAGTGTTTGTGGCATTGTAGACAAGGGAATTGATCGAGCTATTGATAAGTTGCAGAATGTCTTCAGATATAATCAGAGCTTGTAGTTTTTCTGCAAGTTCTAGATATTCAACCTCTTGGGCCGGTCTAGTATAACTGTTACGTACGATTCTAATAATTGCACTTGCAATTTCTAGTGAGTTCAAAACGAAGAACACAGCAGTATTTATGATTATCAAACGGAGGACCTTGCCTGCTCGCTTGGGACGCTTTGGCAGCAGGGCTGATTGCTTGTGGACTTTCACTACTATGTAGATGTACAAAGCAAGAGTTGCTATTAAACAGACAATGTTGATAAGGTGAGCAATCCAAAAGATTATTTCATAGAAGACGGTGTCTGTTATTGGTAAGAATATGAGAATCACAGCAACGATAATTGTTGGAACCCAGAGTCCTGCTGATATCTTTGCTGCTCGAGATTTAGAGGCTTTTTCTTTGTGTATCAGAGGATTGCGCACTGCACAGAATCTCTCAGCTGCTATGGTAACCACAAAGAAATAAGAAACCGTTATTAACATATAACGAACGCCCCGGGCTGCGACTTGCAAGGAGTCTATTGGCTGAATAAACAGTGCATATAGTAAGTCACTTGAAAGGAAGAGTGAGTCAGCCACAGCCAGATTGGATAAGTAGATGTTGATGTTTGTACGCATGGACTTCACTCGAATGACTGTGAAGAGAAAGACTATGTTGAGTAGGATGCCGATTGGTGCAATGATTTCAATACTCAACCATTTTATTTGAAGAAGTCCATGTTTAGTCTCGTGAAAGTTGACACGAAGCTTGTCAATGTCACTTTCCCTCCCAGTTGATGGAGTGGAGCTGTTTTGATAGTCATCACCCATAGTTCATTTACAGTGTTGTATTGATCGTCATGCCGAACATTTTGTGCACTATTGGAAGATCACTCCTGTTTTGCCTTTTAACTGAAAATTTACACTGTACATTTCTTATGAAAAATTTTCATAATTGTTTGCATTTGTAATCTTTTTTTGGTTTTGTTTTTACAGCAGTGTTACAAAAATAATCAACACAGTTTCATAATTGACATTGGCATGATAGTTGCCATTTTTGTATAAGTTGTGTATACATTCTTTTAGTTTAGTGTCTTTCCCTCCCATACATTGCATACACATGTGCGCCTTGTTCTCCAACCCAAACTATCCCGAAACCACAAAATCCCAGCCCCTGAATAAAATTGTACTTTGATGGATTCAGAATTTTAGAACACATGTGTTTCTGTAGCTTTAGATGAACAGATAATGTGATATTAGTTTAGTCTTGTTGGGATTTTGGAGAATTGATAAAGCTTCCTTAGAGTTAAAGAGTTAAATCTTTGATTAACCCTAACCTTTCCCAAATCCTTCAAAATGTTGTTTGCAAAATAAAGGATTTTGCAGGATTGTGGCTGTGCGGCAAAAAAATGTGTGGCTGTTTTTTACGGATGCACTGTGTCAATGACTTATGGGCCAGACCTTGTGTTGTTTATATGCTCAGCCATTCATAAATTTAGGCCTACCGGTAGATTATACTTGAAATCCTCCACACTGCTCCAGGATGTCCCTTGCCCTGTCTCAACATATTGGCAGTGATTGCTGGAGGATTTTGCAGGATTGTGGCAGTGGTTACCCCATTCTAGAAATAATTGATAATTTTGCAGGATTACGTTTCCCGTTTTCTAAAATCAAAATTCTGTTTTCTTAACATTGAAATGTCCATGTTTCTTGGGTTTCTTGAAAAACAGAAACCACGATCACAAACAACACTTGAAGTTTCGCTCTAGATGTCAACGCACGCACGCGGCTGAGGGGGAATACAGAAAATCATGTATAATACATGTACATACACGTCCATGGAATACAATGGAATGTCATTCTGTGATGCATAATTCGTGACGGACGGCTTGTCTGTGCACCGATTCGGAACCACTGTGCACGCAGTGAGAGCCGAAAAGGTCGTTTAGTAGTTTTGATGCGATGATGTGGTATTCTTGGTTTCAAGATGTTCTTTGCGGTATCCAGCATTTGAATCGCATGATACTGTGTGTGCGCATGTTGCACGGACCGCACTGCGAAAAGCGTCGTGGAAATAAGTTATGTACATCCAGTCGAGTGTGAAAAGATGGTAAACTGAAACTGTGTTGTAAATCAATCTGTTCAGCAAAATGTTGCAAATATTGCAACAGTATTTGCTCTGAATCGAACACGATACAGTTTAGGGCAATTTCAGCATTATGTAATGTTCATGGCAGGGATTTACAAAGCTCAGTGATTTAACCTAAAAGCTTATTTTTTGAAACTCACACATCCATGATCTACATGTTGTTATGGTGCAGGCAAGGGCGGATCCAGAACAGACATTTTTTTTGGAGGGGGGGGGGGGCCCAAAAAGAATTCCTCAAAAAAGTTGGTCCCAAAAATTTTTGAATTTGATCTGTGTTAATCTTTTTGAGGAAAAGATGATGGTGTACACAGTACCTGCCTTTATTGCGACGTCACATTAAAAAAAAAAATGGGTTCGTTTTTTGGGGGAGGGGCCATCCGCCCTTGGGTCCGGTGATTACAAAGTTTCAAGAAAGGAATCATCAATTAGATATCATGGTTAATAACTGGCTCTGTCTTGGAGGTTACACTTCCTTTCATAATGCTAGAATTGCAGATGTGTGTATTTCTTTTCATTCCGACAAGACTCACAAGGGAGCTGTAATCTATTTGGAGCTGTACTAAATCTTCACAAATGTCCAATGTACCGTAGCTTGCTTACATGTAATTCATCTGTTCTTGATAAAATGGAGGGGAAAGGTTATATTTTCGAACTTCCCAGCAAAAAGGGAATCTATTACTTTTTTCTTTCATTTGATGATGATTGTTGCAAAGACTGTACCATGGGTTTACTACATAGAGTTGGAATTTGGAGTGTTCAGGAAACTTGCCATCACATATAACCAGCAAGATAGGGATGAATGAGACATGAAAGAAAAACTGGCGCCAGAAAATTCTAGTCAGGAGTGAGTGACATGGGAGCTTGTTAAAGAGTGAAAGTTGAGTGGGCTGATGTAATGAAACACAAATAAGAGCACAGGGAAACTTGATACAAGTGTTAGTTTTGGTGTTTAGATAATCAAGAAAGAAATATAAAATACAGATATAAATAGTCACTGCATCAACATAGCATTGAAACCACACTCTCCTCCTTGAAATGGAAAGTGTACTTAGACTTCTGTTTTCAATTGTTATATTTAGAAAGCATCCGTGAACTTTTCTTCTTGGTTTGGGGACAAACTGATCCACTTTGCTAGCAGGCTGGTTCCTGGTCCATGCATTACCGATACTGATTGTGGGGCAGGAACCAGGCAGCCTCGCGAGAACAGAAATAACTTCTGGCAGCCAATAATTTGAAATTGTAATCTAAAGTAATAATTCAATAACTAAACATTGGCTGTTTGTTTTTTGTTTGAAAGCGAATAATTGTTATATTGCTAGAAAAACAGCAATTCAGAAAAGAGTATACAGTGTTTATACATCGGCGAAGGACAAAACCTAATATTGATTTACATCACCCCAACATAAAATTCCATCTTATATGAATAGTTAGATGCGGTACTCACTGCTACTCATAAGAGTCGAACCAGCCAACCGATCCCGCAAGCTCGGTGTTTGAGTGCTGACACGTCTGCACTAGAAAGCAGGAGTCCCACCCGAGTGATTTTTTTCCAACTTTCACTTGGGAGGTAACACACCGAGTATACAGTGTTTACATGTGAGTGAAGGGCAAAACCAAATACTATATTAGAAAAGAAATCTCATTTTTGGGCTGAAACTCGGAAAAAGCACAGGGAACACAACTTTAAATCCTCCCCCCCCCCCCCAACACAAACATTCCATCTTACAAATATTTACCGGTATCTCCTTTCCTGTTACATTCAGTGCTTGCAATGGATTAATTGATGGAAATCCAATTGTTTGTTTCATCTCTCAGCTGCCAAGAAGATAAGGAGGAGGCATTGAAAGTACTCAACGGACACAAATGGAAGGGACAAGTGCTCAAAGCCAAGGTATTCAATATTTTGTGGTTTAACTATTGTCACAAGCTTCTGTTGGCACTTGTCACTGGATTTAAATGAATGAGAACTGCCTCAGCATTGGCTACCTGTGCAAGGGGTCTCGTGGCTGCTATTGCTGTGGTTACAGGTTCATTTTCCCGCACTGACTCTTTTCCGCAGCTCGCCAAGCCAGTTGAGGACCTGTACACTAAGAGCCTCGCTCTGAAGAGAAGCCAAGAGGAATCTGATGGAAACACCCAAGAAGCTAAGAGGAGGAAGGAGGAGGACAGCTTACCAGTAGAAGAGAGGTGAAGACATTGAGATAGAATGCAGGGTTGGGCTGGATTCGAACCACCATCCATTAGAAAAGTACTAATGTGATTTCCTTCACTGTAGTAGATTTTTTGAGTAGTTCAAGTAGTTCATGATCATCACAAGAAAACCATTCTTACATCCAGAGATTACTATTTTAAGAGCCCAACCGGTCAGTTCCATAGCTCATTTGACATTGTGAACATGAAATATGTTGAGTGGAATAGTTACGTGGTCAGTTTTCTCATCCTTGTCATTTATTCTCCTTGAATGGAGAGCATCAAAGCTTCCATGTCTGTGTAGAGTTTGTGATTCACACTGTAAATGACTCTTATTTTATCTGATAAACTTTTCAAGTTGAACACATTTCCCTCAGTGTTTCAAGCCTAACATTTACTTTACACATGCACCACCAGAACTACCAACTGAAGTTATGAGAATGGTTGTATGTAGAAAGATCACAAGTTCCACTCACTATCCATTACCCATAATGAGATATGGCGGACACAATACGAGGGTGATATTTGGTTTGGGTGAGTCTTTTGTATTGACCCCAAATTTACCCAAATCAAATGGCGCCCTTCGATTGTGTCTGCCATCTCTCAAAAAAGGGTAATAGCAGTTGAAGCGTTCACAATTGTGAAATTCTTAAGACTCTGAAATACTGAGTGTGCTTTTTGCTCTTCTCCCAATCTGCAGGTTAAACAACATGGTGACTCCACTGTGGAACCAGCCGTATGAGGACCAGCTATCCACCAAACAGACCGAGACCAGGGAGTTTCTGAGGAATTTATCCAAGATGCTGCAACGGAACATTGGGGAGATGCCTCCCTGGCTGAAGCAACAAAGGTGAGCTACTCACCAAGAACACAGGATGGTTGTGGGCCAGAATGGAAATGTGGTCTTCCTTGACAAGTAACTGTTTCGAAACACAGTTTTATGGCGAGCTGCCCTGAAAACTTGTTAAAACCCCAGAAAATGTAGCCCATTTATTTTGAGAATCAGTTAAGGTTTTATCAAATTTTATGAAATAAGCTCCCTTCTCCACACACACAAGTCTTGTAGAATAAAAAAAACACACACAAAACAAAGGAAAAAGCTCACCAAAAAAAGTTTACAAAAGCTGCTTGAGTGAGACTTGCACCAACAACCTCCTGCTTACTAGTGCAGATGTCTTAATTACTTGACCACCAAGCTTGCTGGGGCTGACTGGCTGGTTCCAATCTGATATAGCAGGTACCACAACCAGTGAGTTTAATGGATTGTTTACGTAGGGGAGTTGTGAATGTTAATATCTGGTTTGCCCTTCACCAATGTCCTTTTGAAAGCTTGCTTGGGTGGGATGTGAACCCATGACCTCCTGCTTTACTAGTGCAGATATTGCAACGACTCGACAACAGAGCTTGCCAAGGTTGGTCAGCCAGTTTGAATCTCGTAGGTATATAGCTGTGGGTACCATAAGAAAACAGTCACAAGCTTGCTTGGCAGGGACTCGAACCCACGCCCTCATGTTTAATAGTGCACTCTTCATTTGATTGACAGGAAGAACCACAGTGGGATGGCATGTGAGTTGGAGCCAATTAAGCCATCGGTGAGTGGACATAAAGTGTGCACACATGTACATAATGTGCCTGTTATGAGCACCGCAACAGAAAGTTTCAGGATTTTTTTCCAGTTATTCCCCTAATTTCTTGTCAGGTCTTCATGAAACTTGGCCCTGGATGAACTGTGCAAAAGTTTCAGTTTCATGTCTTATTATTTTTATTGACAGATAACACTGTTGGTTTCCGGCTTGGCGCTTACAAAAGTAAGTACATGTATTTCCTCTTTTGAGAGCAAACCCTGTTGGAGCCATGTACATAGCTATTAAATACTGACACTAAATGTCAACAAACGTGTGCACTAATCATAGCATGCAGGCGCGGCACTACGCGTATATCCCCATCCCTGTGAAATGAATACACGCGGGGCACGGGCCAATCAAGCGTCGGCGTGGTTGTTTGAATTGCAAACCCTGAGTTCTGTGTTATATTGTGCAGTTGAGTGGGAAAACTGCACTCCAGGTTCAGTAAACCCACCAGGGAATCCCCCCATTTTCAGGCGAGTTTAGGGGTTTGCTCTTTTGAAATCACTGTTAATACAAAATTTAAAGTCTAATTGATGTTTTCATGGCAGTCTTAATGCTAGCTGAACTTACATGATTGCAGAAAAAAAGGCTTTCGTTTGGACCCCTTTTTTTCTCCACTTGTTGCTGGCTTTCGTTCAGTGAAAGAGGCCTTCGTTTTTGTTTATTTCGCGAAAATAACTATGTCGCATTTAAAATATTAGACGTAGATGCTAAGGATATATAGATTTTAACCTAGGTAAAGGTAAAGGTAAAGGTGTTATAGCTGTTACTGGCCGTAGGGGCAGTGGGATGTTAGAGGTCCACAGAAGCGGAACCCAAACCACCAAAAATATATTTCATATTTAAAAATATATGTAGCACAAAACGTAATACAGGCTGGAAAGCCAATTAGACAAAAAAAATTAATGAAATTGCTCAATATCACCATTTAAACACAATGACTCTAAAACCTGTTTCGTCAAAAAAAAAATCCACTGTTTTTTAAAAGACTTTTTTTTTAAGACGGACTTTGTTGAATGTTTTTAACTTTTAAGCTGAGGTTTTATTGCTGGTGATGTTTGAAGACAATTGTGACGATTCCTGAAATCGCATTTTTTGGACGAAAGAGGTTTTGTGGTCATGTGTTTAAATGTTGATAGTCTTTGAATGGATTGAGCTATTTTAGTAATTTGTTTCATCTAAAAGTACCTTATGAAATTGGCTTTCCAGTCATTATTATGTTTGGTGCTACATATTTTTTTTAATTTGAAATTTAATTTTGGGGGTTTGGGTTCTGCTTTTTTTTACTCAGCCTGTAGTTCATGATCAGCACAAGAAAACCGTTCTTACATCCAAGATTACTATTTTATGAACCAAACTTGTCAGTTTCAAAGGCCAGTTGACATTGTGAACATGAAATTTGTTGAGTGAAACTGTTACGTGGTCAGTTTACTCTTCCTTGGTATTTGTTTTCCTTGACGGGACAGCATCAAAGCTTGCATGTCTGTGTAGAGTAAGTTGACCACATTTCTCTTGGTGTTTCAAGTCTAAAATTTACATTGTGCATGCACCACTAAAACTACGAACTGAAGTTAAGAGAATGGTTTAATGTATGAAGACAGATCACAAGTTACTCACACAATCCATTACCCTTTATGAGATATGGCGGACATGATACAAGGCGCTATTTGGTTTAGTTCAAGATATTTGAATTTACCCCAAATTTACCCCAATCAAATGTCGCCTTCCGATTGTGTCCGCCATATCTCAAAAAGGGTAATAGCAGTTGAAGCATTCATGATTATGAAAATTCTTAAGACTCTGAAATACTGAGTGTGCTTTTCGCTCTTCTCCCAATCTGCAGGTTAAACAACACGGTCCCTCCACTGTGGAACCAGCCATATGAGGACCAGCTATCCACCAAACAGACTGACACCAGGGAATTTCTGAGGAATTTATCCAAGATGCTGCAACGGAACATTGGGGAGATGTCTCCCTGGCTGAAGCAACAAAGGTGAGCTACTCACCAAAAACATGGGATGGTTGTGGGCCAGAATGGAAATGTAATCTCCCGTGACAAAATTTTTCCAGCCCTAGTTCTCTGGCCAGTGGACTTACATGTACAGCTGCCCTGAATATTGATAAAGCCCCAGAAGATGTTTCCTCTTTTTCTTGAGAATCAGTTAAAACTCACCAAAGTTTTACCCAATTTTCTGAAATGAGCTGTCTTCCCTACACACAAAAGTCACAAAATTAAAAAAAGAGGAAAACCCAAACACAGAGCCAATCAATTCACAGCTGCTTGAGTGGGACTTGCACCGGCTACCGATGAGAGTTGAGGTGAACCCCAACCCCCTGCTTAGAGAGACTCTCTCATTCAGGGGCAGATTGAGACCAACTGTCCCTGGACTTAATGGCAAACTGGAGAAATACTGCTCGTTGAAACCTGTCAACATGACTTTGCAAAGAAAATACAGAGATGAAACTTTTCTGATTTTAATCGGAAAACCAACTTTTTGATTTTTCCAACGAAATTTCTGATTTTTTTTTTACAGTGTTTCCCACAAAATTTGATTTTGTAAGGATTTTTCTCACAAAATGTCATTTTATTTCAATCATAATTTCGAAGAAAAGTCGATGAAAAGTCGATGGAAATGTCACGTTAAAGTCATCGCGAACGTAGTTTTAATCTCTTTCATCAGTCGTTATTGGAGTGTTTCAACGGTAGAAACACAGGGCATAACACTGATCGGAGCCTTCTCCGGCTGGACAAAAGGTTAAACATTGACAGCTAGGCGACATGGACAAATCACTGTGTCGCACGTGCGTGCGAATATGCAATGGTACTAGCATACGTACGTACCGCACCGTACCGTCCGCTAGCACATGGCCGGTCGGGAACGGGTTGCCTTGTGAACGATCCAGTGGATAAAATCATCATGTGCGATTTTCGGAGGTTTCAAATTTAGTTATACTCTGTTCCTTGCTCTATGGTTATACAAAGTGCAATGCTTTAAAAGTCGTGATGATTATCTCGAGAATAGCGAAGAGAGCATTAGCGAAACACTTCACTGGCATTTGTTAGAAGAGAAAGACGATAATGCCTGATTTTTCCCCATGTATGAATGCAAGTGGAGCAGTGGAGTTAAGTGGTTGAATGGACATGATTGAAGCACCATGAACGGTGCCCTTGTCTTTCGGACTTTCCCTAGACTTTCTCAAGTAAGAAGTGAACTTCTTTATTGATGACTCCATTACTCTAACTGTAATTCGGGCATTTTATGCAATGAAAACACTGACCATTTTTTTCATCGTAAAATTTTGTTTGAATCAAAAATAAAGCAGGAGTAGGTGTCCAGAAATTGGGCATGAAGTGTATTGCACATGCATGTACATGTGTGTAATGCAACGTGGCCCAGATTTCGGACACGTATTTTTCTTCGGCATATTTTCTGATTTTTTGGCCAAATGCCAGTTTCATCTCTGAAAATAAAGTAGTTCTGAGAGAAGCAAAGAGCAACCCTAGGCACTCTTAAATGAAAGTAAAATTTGACATCAAAGCGTTTCTTTTCTTGTTTTTTTTTTAAGGATAGAGCACACCTATCCACCAGTATTGGTGTTCAAGGCACTGCATCATTAAGTTAAAAGTGCACATTGCCTGGAATGGACAAATAGTGTGAACACATGTAGATGTGAATGTGATGTGCTTTGAATGAACACCGCAACAGAAAGTTGCAGGATTTTTCTCAGTTATTCCCCTAATTTCTTGTCGGGTCTTCATGAAACTTGGCTCTGGATAAATTGTGCAAACGTTTCAGTTTCATGTCTTATTATTTTCATTGACAGATAACACTGCTGGTTTCCGGCTTCGTGCTTACAAAGGTAAGTATTTCCTCTGAAGTTTCCTTTTTGCAAAAGACGTAGATCAGCTTTTATGTTTGATTGGATTGGCTGTCGAAGGGCGTGGCCTATTAGTAGCTAATACCGATCAATTCCAACCAATCAGAATGCAACACACAGAATTGACAGGTGTACATATTGTGCATTGTCTAATTTGTCTGTCAGGAATTAATTATTGAAAAGAAGGAAACAAGCCACAAAAGACTTAAACCCTTGTCATCCCCTTTGCTGACCAATATGTTGGCTTACTTTTGTGGCATGAATATTGAGGGTATATGTTTGTACTTTCAACATTGACCAGCAAGCTCTTTTACTCAGTAGGGATTTTTCAACAATTACATTTGTACAAGCAAGAATTAGGTTTTAAATAAAAAAATTCAGGAATATCACTGTTTGTTTAAATGTTGCTAGTGTACACTTTTATTTATTTTATCACTGATCATGCTTTTACACGCACATTTGTTTGTCGTATAAAAAGTATGTGACTTTTAGAAACTTGGTTTGCCCTGCAATTTTTTTTTCAAGTATTACTAGGTATCAGAAAGACGTAAGAGCTCAAACACCGATTTGGTGATAGTACATTTCTGTATTATTTGTGTTTAGAGTTTTAAATTACACAAGGAAATAGCAGCTTTAATGAACATATAAAAAGCAGCAATTCCTCGGATACTGTGCAAATTAAGATACATCTTGTATGATGCGAACTTTACAACGACATTCATATTTTACAGCATTGATTTTTCAATTTCCAAAATTCGAAGTACCCTTGAGTCCATCTAAAAGAAATATTAGAATATTGCTTTGCATTTAAACATCATACAGACATGGAGCTCATAATGTAATACAACAGACTAGTGGTGCTACACAGATTATGTACAATTATAGAGCATGCAAGTCTCGCCAGTTCGCATTCACTTTTCATGTGAACATCTTGGTACCAAACACTGACTAGTCTAGCCACAGACTCCTGTCTTTGAATTCACCCAATGAACGGAAGTGGAGGTCAACATTTTTTCAATTTACTATAGTAATCAACTTGCAATTTTTTTTTGAATGTGTTGTAAATTGAAATGATTTTTTTCTTGTTCAGAACCCATTCTTTGCCCTTGACTGGATAAACCTAGTAAAATCACCTAGGTTTTTGAGGTCAACTTGCACGCTCTATTGACAGAAGTGGAGTCCAAATTGCTGACTTTAACTATCAACTACATTTTTTCCAGCTAGTAGCTGTGAAGACACCTTTGATCCACCAGACTTAAATCCCATACTGTACATCTAAAGCCTACAATGGTCTCGTATATTATATATTTGTGCTCTGCAGACAAACATCTATTCAATTGGACTTCTCCTTGCTAAAAATAGCATTCAAGAAAGTTTGAACAAACATTCTGCACTTTATTTGGTCTTCAAAAAGTATTTTCAGCGTATATGCACAAAGATTTGTGTAATGTATTTGGAATCAGATGCTCCTAATGCATAACTTGGAACTTTGTTGATCTGTTACTTAGGCTGTGTCTGAAACGGGCTTCTAGAGCTATGGCTACGGCTATTGTCAGATTGTTCCCATGTAATTGTTTTGGGTGAAGACCTAGACAATATAGCTCTAGCCATATCAATTTTTTTTAATCTGTTCATTTGTGCATCAGGTCTTGACCCACAAGAGAACCATTCCACCAGCACCTCTGACGTACCAGTGACTGGCGCTGCCATAACAGATCCTTATCACTATCTGACGCAACAGCACTTCACCTCAGAGATCTTCAAGATTGAGATCCAAAACCTCCCAAGACATTTTGGATTTGCGGTGAGTTTGCTCCCTAAATATTGAACCCTCAATAACAATAACCATACAGTTTGTGCCTTTTTAGGAGTATGTATGTTTTGTGCTCCATGCTTGGGATTTGTCAAGGTCTGTTAATAACAGAATCAAAAGGCTGTAAAATGAATTTCACTAAAACATGAAATATCCTAGCCCTGTGTTTGTTTGACCACATTTAATGCACACTTTTTTGCAATGCACCTAAATGAACCTAAAATTAATTGCTTTGTTCATGTGTAAAAGTTTGTACATTTTAGTATTTCATTGGCTGCATGCTATGTGCTAATGAATGCAACAGTCACATCAAACTTGATCAAAACACTTTTGTTAACATTATTTTCCCCTCAAACAGCATTGACACTGAAGTTCCAGCTCATGACATCACTGTATTTCTCATGAACATGCATCTTGGCACCATCATAAAAATATGTAAAAGCCTGAAACATCCAAAGACTTGGAATACAGAGGTGCATTTCCTAAAATAAAAACCTCCAAATCTGTTTCAAAAGCACTTAAGAAAAAAAAAATCTTTATTTACAGTGAACTTTCAGGGTTATCCATATGTTAGTACCAATACATGTACATTTTCACACTGAAAAAAGTAACAGACTTGCTCATTTAAAGGAAGGGTAGATCATTTGTCATTTGTGCATTTTTTTTTCATTTGAATCAACAAAAGTGCTCAAAATCTAAAAACGGGTGCTTAACAACTAACACAATGAAGTTTACGCTCTGTGAATGCAGTATATTCCAAAACTATATTCAATGATCGCAGGTTCAATTCAAAACTTGCTGAGTCATGTTTTATATTGCGTCCGAATTCAGCTTCAGGGACACATTCTCATTCAGTCAATTGCAGCTACGTGATGTCATGCACTGAACTGACATATAATAGCAACCTAGTGTGCGTGTGCGTCATGTCAACGCTTGTGCGCACATATTCATGGATTCACCGAATTTACAAACCAACTACGTGAACTAACATGATGCATCGTTGGAAATAACTTTCTTTCATTGTTTTCTTCAAAATGACAAGCATGCCAGAAAGAATGATTTCACAGGGAGTTTAGTGCCATCAAAATTAAAAGCCTTTTAACAATAATTTTGTCAGTTACTTTTTGGATAGCTGCAAATGATCTACTCTACCTTTAAACACGAACACAAATTTGATTCAGATAACAGTTAAACTATTTGGGATTTGTTAATTTCTGAACCATTTACATAGATACATTGCATGAATACCAGCTGTTCCCTTCACTGATAGTTGGTTGCAATCTGCTCTGGGCAGGCCTGCACATTTCTGATGTCATGGTGCGTACATGAATTGGCAATTCGCTGAAGTAAAACACGTTTCAACTCCAGCATAATATGCTGTTAGTGTTTCTCGATGTCAAATCTACTTGGCATTCCAATGAAGAAGATGTATGAAACAGCCTTAAATCTGCTCTACAGTTTAAACACGACAGCAAGTTCAAAAGCACATTGACTCTGCACATTGCTGCCCTTAAATGGATAGCTTGCACTCATCAGGTACCAGGGAACATCGTTCTTGACAACTTTCCAACGATTGACTCCCTTCTGGTTCTGGATGTACACACTGTTCCCCTTGCATGGATGGCTTGCAGTCAGTCAGACTAGAGCATTGTTCCTGATGAGAACTTGCAAGCGCTGGGGTCCCTGCTGGTTCTGCATGTACCTGAACATGCACTTGAACATGCTGCTGACTGTGCATGGATGCCTTGCTGCTGCTTTGCCTGGAACATTGTTCTTGACAGCTGTCCAGTGACTGCTGACTCACTGTGTGTTGTGCATGCCCTTGTCTTGATGGCTTGCTGCTGCTTGGCCTGGCAGCACGGTGCTCTTGGTCATTTTCCGCCTGTGGAAGCACATGAAGCTCAATCTGCTTCCCTGGCTGCGATGGTCGGCTGGGATTCCGTCTTGGGCAGCAACGACAGCACAGTTTCAAAAACGAGAAAGCCTTGACTACAGCTTCACGAAAGTCAGTGTTTGTGGCACTGTAGACTAGGGAATTGATTGAGCTATTGATCAGTTGCAAAATATCAATGCATGTAGTCAGAATATATACTATCTCTCCAAGTTCCAGATTGGCAACAATCTGAGAAGTTGAAGTATACTTTGATGCCACTACACCTCCATGTATTATCATAATTGCAGCTGCAGTGTACAGTGAGTTCAGAATGAAGAAAACAGCAGTGTTGATGATAACCATGCAGAGGACCTTACCTGCTCTCTTGGGACGGTTCGGCAACAGGGCTGATTGCTTGCGTACTTTCAGTACTACATAGATGTACAAAGCAAGAGTTGCTATCAAAGAGGCAATGCTGATAATGGAATGAATCCCAAAGTAGACTTTAATGGAGACAGTGTATGTTAATGGTAAGAAAATCAGAATCACACCAACAATAATTGTTGGCACCCAGAGTCCTGCTGATATCTTTGCTGCTCGAGATTTAGAGGCTTTTTCCTTGAATGTCAGAGGATTTCGTACTGCAGAGAATCTCTCAGCTGCTATGGTAACCACAAAGAAATAAGAAGTAGCGGTAAACGTGCATTGGACACTTGATATTGCTTTGTAGACCAATAAGTTTAACTCCATAGGTGAAAACAATGCAACTATGAAGTAAGTCATAAGGTAGAGGGAGTCAGCCACAGCCAGATTGGATAAGTAAATGTTGATGATTGTACGCATGGACTTCACTCGAACGACTGTGAAGAGAAAGACAAAGTTTAAGCAGAGGCCGATTGGTGCAATGATTTCAGCACTTAACCATAATATTCGAAAAGTTCTTTGTTCACTTATGTAAAAGTTCTCAATATCCTTTTCAACTTCAGTTTTCCACCCAGTTGATGGAGTGGAGCTGTTTTGGTAGCCATCACCCATAGTTCATGCACAATAGCATTGAGCTCCGTGAGCTACATTATATTCAGATGCAGCAAAGAATGTTCTTTTCAAGATCACTCCAGATTTATACTTACAAGGATTGTAAGACCTTGAGCAAAGTGCAATTGAAACAGAAAGTTTCTTGTTCTTTTCTCTTTTTTCCCCCAACATTTCTGTCCGATTTTAATGCATGTGACTATCTTGTGGTATCAGTTCCTGTAACCAAAGCAGATGCATGTAAGTCAGTTTCACTACTTGAACTGACATGAAATCTGAGAATTGAATTTGTTTTTGTTTTGATAATTTGCCCCAGATTTAACATGCATATTGTGTACATGTAATTGTTTTTTTTTATGCAAGTCGTCCCTTCACAAGGCATAAATGCCACTCAATGTAAGGGCTACCGTACAAGAAAAGAAAAGACAGAAAAAAAAGAGGATGATAGAAAATAAGACAATTAAGTTTAGTGCGTGAGAGATGCATGTTCACATTGTGTTTATACAGGGTGAGTTAAAAAGAAAGTGACCTGCACTCAAGATTTTTAAAAGCAATCAAATTAGATACACCAAAGAAGTATGTCTTAAAAGAGCATGTTCTTCCACTCATCTGAAAAAAACCCAATCACTAACATTGATCCATGTCATCCAAAGTTATGCATGTTTTACTAAAAAGAACCCATTTGTGTAGCTGTCCAAGGAATGGGATAATATTGCAAGCTAAATGAGCTAAGTGAGAATTACAGATTACACACAAGCATTCAAATACAAATGAAACTTTAATAATTGAAATCAAGACAGTTTTTACTATCAGGTTGTGTGTTTTGAATATGAGAAACAAGACAACTCTTTTTTTCTTCGAAATACTGATAATGATTTTTGTATATTTTCCTTTGTAAGTTCTCGTTCATTCATGGAGGTGGGAAAACGATGGATGTTTCATTGTCCTCAATGGGTACATGTATTATCAGTTCACAGCACGGTAATTGATAAGTGGTGGACAGCCAAGTTTTTTATAGAAATAGACATGAATTGGGAATAGAGTATGCAATTTAAGTGAAATTTTCACAGTTAATAGTCAATAAGATGTACTTTATTCGTGTTTTTTTTTATTAACATAGAATGAGCCAAATATTTTAAACATTTCTTTCAAATTCGGTCACTTTCTTTTTTACTCATCCTGTAGTTGGTTCAACCGGTAATGTGGGAATAAACTTGATGAATACATCCTGAAAATGGCTTTGGGGATAATGACAGTATATTGATGTGATTGGATGGAGGAGCAGGTAGTTGGTAGTTGGTTTAAATTTGGTCTTGCTACTGATGACGGAAAGTAACATTCACTCAAAAGTCAAAACAACTTTAAGCACTAATTTTACTTTGTACAAAAGGTATATAGATGTAGACAACAGCAAAAAAGAGGAGATTTTCTTTTCTATCAATTCTTGCTGTCGTTTTTCCCAAAATGAATTGTGTTCTTCCCTTGGATGTTGATTTATTTACCCATACAACAATTCTGTACTTCCCTTCTGTTTGATATTCAATTTGATCTGATTAGGAATGAAGTCAAATGGATGTTTTTATTCACAAATCATAATTTGATTTCTGTTCATCTGTTGCTTTTTTTTCTTTCCTGGGCGAATGTTGGTTGTCATCAGATCGGAGTTTTTTTTCACTTTCTGGGGTTGTTGTCATTTGAAATCAGTCTCTGCCTTGCCTGACAATCAACCAACTGTTGGCTTGTGACAGATTTCACAGGGTAAAGTCTCAAGAAAGCATAAAATTAAAGAGTAATGTTATAAACAACCGGCAGTATTTTACAGCTCTACATTTAGGAGCAATTTTGTATTTTTAGGGGGTGTGCAAATACGAGTAGTAAAGGAACCAGGTACCCTATTGAAAAAAATAAACAGGTTCCTGGGTAGCCATTAAAGAAACCCAATGCCAAACATGCCAAAATTCAAATCTCGGAAGTTGCTGTTGAGATTGTTTACTACAACTGCATCGGCACATCAGTACAGCAACACCGCGTTCCCACTTGAATTGGAAAAAGGTGGATCAAGATCCGGCATTTTGGTGTGATCGTTATCTTACCGCAACGAAACCGCAAGTCACGTTCCCACGTATGCTTGATCCACCTTTTCGAACGGAAATGTAGAGTTCAAAATGTCACTGAGTTCGGAATTATGTGCCATCAGTGGGAGTGCCAGTGTTACATGCTAGGATGGGTCAGTTTTCAAACAGCGCTATCAGAATTCACCTACAAAAATTGCGCGAATTCCCCGACACAAATCACGGATCGGTAGGATCCTTGCGTTCATAGATTAATTGGTGAAATTGAACAGCGCCGCTCATTGTGTGACATCACGGCAAAAACCAATGCATTGATAAGGGATTCCCTGGTTCTGAAGCTTCTCATTGTTAAAAATGGTCACATGATGTAGTACGACATCATTTTCCAATTTTCTGTAATTAGTACTACAGATTTGTCACCTCCGAAAGTACCGTGTTATCATCGCATACTCGTAAGCTTTTCTTTGATTCTGTGCCAAAGTGACGTGGTTTGGTGAGTGCGGACTAAGAGGTATTTATGGATGAAAAAATAAGTAAAATTTCATGAATAAAAAAGGTTTATAAATGGATGGATATGCAACGAAAATTGGCTGCATGCATCACACAGTGCTAGCTGGTAGTTCGGCGGTTGTTTATTGTGCATGTTGTGTACGTTGGAAATATTTTCACATGAGCTTCACGCCTGAAAATGTGTTTCTTCGTTCATGACATAAGACCACAACATTTTCATGCCACGCGTGCACCGGGCGGATGTTAACAGGTCAAGTTGCCGGATCAGATCCACCTTTTGCATTCCCATCTGATTGTGATCCTCCAATTGCCGGATCTGATCCACCAATTGGGGGATTTGTATCCTGGTCCAGAGGTGGATCAAAAAGGTGGATCTTATCCTGATCCACTTTATGAGCTCCGTGCGCTACCAAAATAGGGCACCCTTTTACCTAGCAACGACGTCCCAAGGGCGGGACATATCGCTGGTTGACGCGCACCGTTCCTTGTGTGTTACGCGCGTACACCAGGGGATTTGTTCTATGTACACGCAGTGGTCCCGCTTTGCAGCAAATGAATTGCAGTCAGGCAAGATGGCATCGGTCGGTCACCCCCAACTGAACTTCCTTCGCCGGTGAGGGGGTACTTGTGAACGGAGCGGATAACGGTCAGCGTTCCCACTACACACAATTGCCGGATCTGATCCACCAATTGGGGATCTGATCCGGCAATTTGGCAAAAGGTGGATCAGATCCCCCAATTGGTTGGTGGATCAAGTGGGACCGGGGTCCAAGATACATGTACAGCGAGCTTTATAGCTTTACGGTTTTGTAAACTGCAGTTTAGTAACTAAGTAATTCTTGTAACTAAGTAATTTGTAAAGTTGGTTGTGGCCGGGTACTACTCCTAGAACTATGAGGCTTCACGTAGTGGAGCCTCATAGGTTCAGAACCCCGCAAAATTGTTGTCAGCACAAAACACTAATTAAGTACAAAAACGTCCATCCCAACGAAGCCGTTTCCCACAGAACCGCTGCGCAGTTTGCCCCTAAACTCCGTACAATACCTCATGACATACTCACGCTATGTGCACCCAACAAACATCGGTGGATTCTGTCGGTTTTTTGCAAAAATGATGGAAAATATGCCCTTTCCGCACTGAGCCAACCTAACACTTGAAATTTGCACGCGCGCAGAATGATCGCAGTCATTTTCGTACTATTTTCGTACGTACTCGCACTTGTACGCATGCGCATACTATCGTTCCGCTCCTACACCATACCCCCCGCGGCGCTCTCCGAGCGATCGAACCCGAAAATGACTGCGATCATTCTGCGCGCGTGCAAATTTCAAGTGTCAGGTTTCATAGTTCTAGGAGTAGCCGGGTACCTGATCCCATAATAATCTAGAACCGGTTCCTGACATCGACGGTCGGGTACTCAGGTACCCGGTTCCAATGCACAGCCCTAGTATATTTTGCATTTTTTTGGTTTCCTGATTGAGCTTATCCTGTCAGGGGTAATAAATGGGTTTTGTATTAATAAGGAAAAAATACAAATTTGAAAATTCTGAAATACATGAATATAGGCCTACAGGGTAAGGCAAAAAAACAGTGACCAAATTTGAAAATATTCACTATCAATATTTCTGGAAAAAAAAGAGTGGACTTGTTCTTCTTTTTCATAACACAAAATCTAATAGTATCAATAATGCTTCAATCTTTATTTCAATTATTAAAATGTCATTTGTTTTTGAATGCTTGTGTGTAATCTGTAATTCTCACTAAGCTCAATAGCCACATGTACCGCTACCAATGGCATTCCATGGACAGCTATAAATATGGCTTCTTTTTAGTAAAACATGCATTTAACTTCAGATGGCATGGATCAATTTCAGTAATTCTTTTTTTTCAAATGAGTGTATGAATGCATGTGCTCGTTTAAGACGTACATTGGTGTATCAAATTTGTTGCTTTTTAAGAAAATGTTTTGAATCCAGGTCACTTTCTTTTTGACTCGCCCTGTACAACACTATTAAATTAATATCATCCCAACCCAAAATATCATCTTATAAATAGTTGGGTTACAGTACCTGCTGCTAGGTCAGATTCAAAGCAGCCAGCTAAACCCCGGCAAGCTGTGTGGTCGAGTGGCAAGCTGTGTGCACTAGTAAGCAGGTGGTCGTGGACTCGAGTCTCAACCGAGTATAGAATATGAATTTTTCTCTCACAAGCACTGGCAAAAACCCAACACTGAAAATATTGCAAATTGGTGACTAAATAATAGTAAACATTTCATCCTCAACTTCAATGCAGTCGATCTTGACATTGAAAACTTGGAAGATAAAAACAATGGTAGTCCGTGACTAGACTTAGCCAGTGCTTGTAACCAAAATGTTCCATAAAAAAGTGACTGTGAACTGGCAAGTCTTGCATGCTCAATTGTATGGTTTTTTTTGTTTTAAAGCAACTGAAGAAGATGTTGACTGGTCTGCAACTGAAACCCAAGAAAGTCGAGGCAGTCAACAAGGCAACCTATGCTTTTGTGACATTCAGGTAAAGAATGCAAACTTTCTATTAATTTTTGTTTATCAAGGTCAGTTATTGCTTGTAAAATAAAGTAGACATCTACATCCTGTTGAGTATCCATATTTGGAAAGATGCTAAACTGAAACTGAGTTGTAAATTAATTGGTTAAAGCCAGAGTCCTTCATTTGCAGCTATCAAAAAAGTAACTGGAGTAATTATTGTTGAAAAACTTACTTGGTTGAAAGATAGTAAGGGAACTAAACTCCCTGTGAAATTATTCTTTTTGGCAAGCTGTCATTTTGAAGAAATCAACAAAAGAAGGCCTTTCCAACGGTGTTTCTGTAGGAAATTCAAAATCGGATCAGTGCGCGACATCGCGTAGCTGCAATCGGCTCAGTGAGAACGTGTCTCGGACGCTGAATTTAGGCCCAATTCAAAACATGATTCAGCAACATTTGATTTGAAATCGAGATCCTACAATGTTGTTTTTCTCGAAATATACAGCTAAAGCTGTGCTAAAAATTCATCAGGTTAGTTGTCCAGCACCCTTCTTCAGATCTTGAGTACTTTTGTTGCTTTAAACGAACAAAATGCACAAATTACAAATGATGGATTATACCTTTAAGTAAAATGCAGCAAATTTTGCAACAAATTTGCTCTGAGTCAAATTTGATACAGTTTAGGGCAATTTCAGCATTATGTAATGTTCATGGCAGGGATTTGAAAAGCTCAGTACCTAAAACCTTTTCTTTTTCTTTTTTTTTAATCTAATACACATCCATGATCTAGTTATAGTCCAGGAGATTACAAACTAGGAGTTTTGGATCAAGAAAAAATCATTAATTAGATATCACGGTTAACTGGCTCTGTCTTGGATGTTACACTTCCTTTCATAATGCTAGAATTGAACTTGTGTGTATTTCTTTTTGTTCTGACAAGAGTCACAAGGGAGCTGTAATCTATTTTGAGCTGTACTAAATCTTCACAAATGTACAATGTAGCTTAATTCTTCTGTTCTTGACAAAATGGAGGGGAAAAGGTTTTGTTTTTGAACTCCCCAGCAAAAAGTGAATCTCTTACTTTTTCTTTCATTTAATGATGATTATTGCAAAGACTGTACCATGGGTTTACTACACAGAGTTGGAAATTGGAGTGTTCAGGAGATTTGTCAGCTCACATAACCAGCAAGATAGGGATGAATATTTGAGACATGAAAGAAAAACTGGCGCCAGAAAATTCTAGTCGGGAGTGGTGACATAGGAGCTTGTTAAAGAGTGAAAGTTGAGTGTGCTGACGTAATGAAACACAAATAAGAGCACAGGGAAACTTGATACAAGTTTTAGTTTTGGTGTTTGGATAATCAAGAAAGAAATTTAAAATATAGATATAAATAGTCACTACATAAACATAGCATTGAAACCACACTCTCCTCCTTGAAATGGAAAGTGTACTTAGACTTCTGTTTTCAATTGTTATACTTAGAAAGCATCCATGAACTTTTCTTCTTGGTTTGGGGACAAACTGATCCACTTTGCTAGCAGACTGGTTCCTCGTCCAAGCACTATCGATACTGATTGTGGGGCAGGAACCAGGCAACCCCTTGAGAACAGAAATATCTTCTGGCAGCCAATAATTTGAAATTGTTAAGTAAATAATTCAATAACTAAGCATTGGCTGATTGGTTTTTGGTTCAAAAATGAATAACTGTTGTATTGCTAGAAAAAAAAGCAATTCAGAAATGAATATACAGTGTTTATACATCGGCAAAGGGCAAAGCCTAATATTGATTTACATCACCCCAACACAAAATTCCATCTTATGAATAGTTAGATGCGGTACTCGCTGCTATGTACAATGTACATCAGATTCAAACCAGCCAACCAATCCCGCAAGCTCGGTGCTTTGGGTGGTGAGACGTCTGCACTAGAAAGCAGGAGGCCTCCGGTTAAAGTCCAACCCAAGTGATTTTTTCCGACTCTCACTTGGGAGGTAACACACTGAGTATAAAGTGTTTATATGTCAGTGAAGGGCAAAACCAAATATTAATTTAGAAAAGAAATCTAATTTTGGGATGAATCTCGAAACTAGCGAAGGGAACAGAACTTTAAATCCCCCCCCCCCCCAACACAAACATTCCATCTTACAAATATTCATCTCCTTTCCTGTTACATTCAGTGCTTGCGATGGATTAACTGATGGAAATCCAATTGTTTGTTTCATCCCTCAGCTGCCAAGAAGATAAGGAGGAGGCATTGAAAGTACTCAACGGACACAAATGGAAAGGACAAGTGCTCAAAGCCAAGGTATACACTATGAGTCATTATTGTGGTTTTATTCAGTGTTGTAGTCGAGGCCACCACCTCCGAGGCCAAGGCCACCACCTCCAAGGCTGAGGCCAGCTATTAAAACACGTAATAAAATATAAATCACTAAAACAAGGCTAAGATTTTGTTGGATTTTTAACATCTGTTTAGTTGAATTCACTGGGTTTTGGAGTGCCTGGCTTACAAAATTTACAGCTTGCAATGTGTTTCTTCTTGCCATGATCTTCACATTCTTCATAACCATTGCGTCCAAATCGGATGATCCGAGTATACATGGTCATTTTCATAAACTGAGTGATATCATGCACGCATGTGGAAAGCTGAAGTGCAGGATAGGCAATGCTTTGCATACGTTGCGCGAGCACGCATGAATGTGAAGAACGGGTGGGTTCCCTGTCCCATTATCGCTTTGGCTACTGCACTTGTGACGTTCACTCATTCAGGGACGTACGTCGGACGAGTGTAGCTTGAAATTTCCAGCGTTACTGCATAATGACGTCATTCGTATGACATGGAGAGATTCGCCTGTAGCACTGGAACGAAGCCCCTGATTTAGACAGCGGTTTTTGTTATTTTTGCAGATGTTTTCAATTTCCGTTCAAATTACAAATAAAAAGTCCCCTATGTGACTGTAGATTTATCCTTTCATGTATTGCAGCAGAGGATCCATGCAAAATGCGAAAAGAATCAAGTCGAACAAGATAGAAAGGGATATTTTCGGTGCAACTTCCAGTCGTGTACAAAACAATCCTCAGTTCATTAATGTACACACGTACGTTAGGGACAAAATTCGCATCTGAGGATCACTCCCAACAGCCAATCACAGGGCCGTATCATATTATTAATGCGGAGTAGAACAGCCAACAGCCCTTGGTCTACAGACGTACTGTGTATGCCGAATGAAATACTGATCCGGCGGCAGTTACATGTACTACTCAGCATAAATAATCGAGGTGCCTTGTGAATGGCTGTTCTGATCTTAGGATGCAATTTTGTGCCCATGTAGCATGAATTTATGTTTTTTTGAAATACGGACTCATTGGTGGTATTGCGCATGCTCATGCATAGATAATTGGGAACGGGACCGGTCACGTGAGAGGGTTTAACCAATAAAAGGGGAAAAGAGTCCGATTTTCATACAAGTCCGATTTTCATATGACACCCGCATATACGGCCATAGCGCAGCCTAGGCGAAAATGCTATGTACATGAGTACGTTCAATGCAACCATTACCAGTGTTCATTCATGCGTACATTGTATGCTTTCGTTTCACAGAAACCACTTCGGCAAAATCTCTAAGGTTTGATATGGTAAAAAATTAAAATTAGTTGAAATAGAAAACCCATCAAAATGGGCGGCCTCGAGCCGACCTCGACCGATTCGCCAAGGCCAGAAGGCTCCAAGGCCAAGGCCATGCACTCCAAGGCCAAGGCCGAGGCCATGCATTCCGAGGCCAAGGCCATGAAAATCGACCTCGAGGCTGGCCTCGAGGCCGAATCTGGCCTTGAGACCTCCAACACTGGTTTTATTATTGACACCAGGTTTTGTTGGCACTTGTCATTGACTTTAAATGAATAAGAACTGCCGTAGCATTGGTTATCAGTGCAAGGGGTCTTGTGGCTGCTATTGCTTGGTTGGGCTGGATTCGAACCACCATCCATTAACAATAGAACTCTGGTTCTCAACCAACTGAAATCATCACAACACACTTCTTTTATGCAAGGGTAGAAACAAATGGCTCATTTTATGGAATTCATGAATTCTGTTCAGTCCATTTTTTTGACGATTTTGTCGGCTATAGACCGCTTGCAGATGCGTTCGATAATTGACACGCGAAAGGCGGGCGATGCCATGTTGTGGGACAAGCGTATATCTATCCATGCACATTTTGTCCCACAACATGGCGGCGCGCACCTTCGCGTGTCAATTATCGAAAGTGTCTGCAAGCGGTCTATAGGAAGGTAGACCCCAGCCTACTACCATTTATCAAAGAATGTGATTGCCTTCACTGTGGTAGATTTTTTGAGGAAGGGAAAGGAAATGTGTTACCTCAAGTACAGGGCAAGTCAAAAAAAAGTGGAACCCAAACCCCAAAAAATATATTTCATATTTAAAAATATATGTAGCACCAAACATAATTATGACTGGAAAGCCAATTTCATAAACTACTTTTAGACGAATTTTTTTTATAAAATTGCTCAATTCGTGTAAAGAATATCACCATTTAAACACAATGACCCTAAAACCTGTTTTGTCAAAAACAAACCAGTTTATTGTGTATTCTGATTGATAAAATCCACTGTTTTTTAAAAGACTGGCCTGAAAAGGACTTTGTTGAATACTTTTAACTTTTAAGCTGAAGTATTATCGCTGTTGATATTTAAAGACAATTGTGACGATTCCTGAAATTGCATTTTTAGACGAAAGAGGTTTTATGGCCATTGTGTTTAAATGGTGATAGTCTTTGAACGGATTGTGCAATTTCAGTCATTTTTCATCTAAAAGTACGCTATGAAATTGGCTTTCCAGTCATTATAATGTTTGATGCTACATATATTTTTTTTTAATGTGAAATCTAATTATGGGGGTTTGGGTTCTGCTTTGTTTTACTCATCCTGTAGTTCATGATCATCACAAGAAACCATTCTGACATCCAGAGATTACTATTTTAAGAGCCCAACCGGTCAGTTCCATAGCCCATTTGAAATTGTGAACATGAAATTTGTTGAGTGAAACAGTTACATGGTCAGTTTTTTCTTCCTTGTCATTTATTCTCCTTGATGGGACAGCATCCAAGCTTCCATGTCTGTGTAGAGTTTGTGATTCACGTTTTAAATGACACTTATTTTATCTGATAAACTATTCAAGTTGAACACATTTCCCTCAGTGTTTGAAGCCTAAAATTTACTTTACACACGCACCACCAGAACTACCAACTGAAGTTATGAGAATGGTTGTATGTAGAAAGATCACAAGTTCCACTGACTATCCATTACCCATTATGAGATATGGCGGACACAATACGAGGGTGATATTTGGTTTGGATGAGTCTTTTGTATTGACCTCAAATATACCCCAATCAAATGGCGCCCTCCGATTGTGTCCGCCATATCTCAAAAAAGGGTAATAGCAGTTGAAGCGTTCACAATTATGAAATTCTTCAGACTCTGAAATACTGAGTGTGCTTTTCCCTCTTCTCCCAATCTGCAGGTTAAACAACACGGTAACTCCACTGTGGAACCAGCCATATGAGGACCAGCTATCCACCAAACAGACCAACACCAGGGAGTTTCTGAGGAATTTATCCAAGATGCTGCAACGAAACATTGGGGAGATGTCTCCCTGGCTGAAGCAACAAAGGTGAGCTACTCACCAAAGACACGGGATGGTTGTGGGCCAGAATGGAAATGTGACCTTCGTTGACAAAAAACTGTTTCCAGACACAGTTTTCTGGCAAGTGGACTTACATGTACAACTGCCCTGAACATTTGTTAAAGCCCCAGAACATGTTTCCTCTTTTTCTTGAGAATCAGTTAAAACTCACCAAAGTTTTACCCAATTTTCTGAAATGAGCTGTCTTCCCTACACACAAAAGTCACAAAATTAAAAAAAGAGGAAAACCCAAACACAGAGCCATTCAATTCACAGCTGCTTGAGTGGGACTCGCACCGGCTACCAATGAGAGTTGAGGTGAACCCCAACCCCCTGCTTAGAGAGACTCTCTCATTCAGGGGCAGATTGAGACCAACTGTCCCTGGACTTAATGGCAAACTGGAAAAATACTGCTCGTTGAAACCTGTCAACATGACTTTGCAAAGAAAATACAGAGATGAAACTTTTCCGATTTTAATCGGAAAACCAACTTTTTGAGTTTTCCAACGAAATTTTTCGATTTTTTTTTTACAGTGTTTCCCACAAAATTTGATTTTGTAAGGATTTTTCTCACAAAATGTCATTTTATTTCAATCATAATTTCGAAGAAAAGTCGATGGAAATGTCACGTTAAAATCATCGCGAACGTAGTTTTAATCTCTTTCACCAGTCGTTATTGGAGTGTTTCAACGGTAGAAACACAGGGCATAACACTGATCGGAGCCTTCTCCGGCTGGACAAAAGGTTAAACATTGACAGCTAGGCGACATGGACAAATCACTGTGTCGCACGTGCGTGCGAATATGCAATGGTACTAGCATACGTATGTACCGCACCATACCGTCCGCTAGCACATGGCCGGTCGGGAACGGGTTGCCTTGTGAACGATCCAGTGGATAAAATCATCATGTGCGATTTTCGGAGGTTTCAAATTTAGTTATACTCTGTTCCTTGCTCTATGGTTATACAAAGTGCAATGTTTTAAAAGTCGTGATGATTATCTCGAGAATAGCGAAGAGAGCATTAGCGAAACACTTCACTGGCATTTGTTAGAAGAGAAAGACGATAATGCCTGATTTTTCCCCATGTATGAATGCAAGTGGAGCAGTGGAGTTAAGTGGTTGAACGGACATGATTGAAGCACCTTGAACGGTGCCCTTGTCTTTCGGACTTTCCCTAGACCTTCTGAAGTAAGAAGTGAACTTCTTTATTGATGACTCCATTACCCTAACTGTAATTCGGGCATTTTATGCAATGAAAACACTGACCATTTTTTTCATCGTAAAATTTTGTTTGAATCAAAAATAAAGCAGGAGTAGGTGTCCGGAAATTGGGCATGAAGTGTATTGTACATGCATGTACATGTGTGTAATGCAACGTGGCCCAGATTTCGGACACGTATTTTTCTTTGGCATATTTTCTGATTTTTTGGCCAAATGCCAGTTTCATCTCTGAAAATAAAGTAGTTCTGAGAGAAGCAAAGAGCAACCCTAGGCACTCTTAAATGAAAGTAAAATTTGACATCAAAGCGTTTCTTTTCTTGTTTTTTTTTTAAGGATAGAGCACACCTATCCACCAGTATTGGTGTTCAAGGCACTGCATCATTAAATTAAAAGTGCACATTGCCTGGAATGGACAAATAGTGTGAACACATGTAGATGTGAATGTGATGTGCTTTGAATGAACACCGCAACAGAAAGTTGCAGGATTTTTCTCAGTTATTCCCCTAATTTCTTGTCGGGTATTCATGAAACTTGGCTCTGGATAAATTGTGCAAACGTTTCAGTTTCATGTCTTATTATTTTCATTGACAGATAACACTGCTGGTTTCCGGCTTCGTGCTTACAAAGGTAAGTATTTCCTCTGAAGTTTCCTTTTTGCAAAAGACGTAGATCAGCTTTCATGTTTGATTGGATCGGCTGTCGAGGGGTGTGGCCTATTAGTAGCTACTGCTGATCAATTCCAACCAATCAGAATGCAACACACAGAAAGATTGACAGGTGTACATATTGTGCATTGTCCAATTTGTCTGTCAGGAATTAATTATTGAAAAGAAAGAAACAAGCCACAAAAGACTTAAACCCTTGTCATCCCATTTGCTGACCAATATGTTGGCTTACTTTTGTGGCATGAATATTGAGGGTATATGTTTGTACTTTCAACATTGACCAGCAAGCTCTTTTACTCAATAGTGATTTTTCAACAATTACATTTGTACAAGCAAGAATTAGGTTTTAAATAAAAAAATTCAGGAATATCACTGTTTGTTTAAATGTTGCTAGTGTACACTTTTATTTATTTTATCACTGATCATGCTTTTACACGCACATTTGTTTGTCGTATAAAAAGTATGTGACTTTTAGAAACTTGGTTTGCCCTGCAATTTTTTTTTCAAGTATTACTAGGTATCAGAAAGACGTAAGAGCTCAAACACCGATTTGGTGATAGTACATTTCTGTATTATTTGTGTTTAGAGTTTTAAATTACACAAGGAAATAGCAGCTTTAATGAACATATAAAAAGCAGCAATTCCTCGGATACTGTGCAAATTAAGATACATCTTGTATGATGCGAACTTTACAACGACATTCATATTTTACAGCATTGATTTTTCAATTTCCAAAATTCGAAGTACCCTTGAGTCCATCTAAAAGAAATATTAGAATATTGCTTTGCATTTAAACATCATACAGACATGGAGCTCATAATGTAATACAACAGACTAGTGGTGCTACACAGATTATGTACAATTATAGAGCATGCAAGTCTCGCCAGTTCACATTCACTTTTCATGTGAACATCTTGGTACCAAACACTGACTAGTCTAGCCACAGACTCCTGTCTTTGAATTCACCCAATGAACGGAAGTGGAGGTCAACATTTTTTCAATTTACTATAGTAATCAACTTGCAATATTTTTTGAACGTGTTGTAAATTGGAATGATTTTTTTCTTGTTCAGAACCCATTCTTTGCCCTTGACTGGATAAACCTAGTAAAATCACCTAGGTTTTTGAGGTCAACTTGCACGCTCTATTGACAGAAGTGGAGTCCAAATTGCTGACTTTAACTATCAACTACATTTTTTCCAGCTAGTAGCTGTGAAGACACCTTTGATCCACCAGACTTAAATCCCATACTGTACATCTAGAGCCTACAATGGTCTCGTATATTATATATTTGTGCTCTGCAGACAAACATCTATTCAATTGGACTTCTCCTTGCTAAAAAAAGCATTCAAGAAAGTTTGAACAAACATTCTGCACTTTATTTGGTCTTCAAAAAGTATTTTCCACGTATATGCACAAAGATTTGTGTAATGTATTTGGAATCAGATGCTCCTAATGCATAACTTGGACATTTGTTGATCTGTTACTTAGGCTGTGTCTGAAACGGGCTTCTAGAGCTATGGCTACGGCTATTGTCAGATTGTTCCCATGTAATTGTTTTGGGTGAAGACCTAGACAATATAGCTCTAGCCATAGCAATTTTTTTTAATCTGTTCATTTGTGCATCAGGTCTTGACCCACAAGATAACCATTCCACCAGCACCTCTGACGTAACGGTGACTGGCACTGCCATAACAGATCCTTATCACTATCTGACGCAACAGCACTTCACGTCAGAGATCTTCAAGATTGAGATCCAAAACCTCCCAAGACACTTTGGATTTGCGGTGAGTTTGCTCCCTAAATATTGAACCCTCAATAACAATAACCATACAGTTTGTGCCTTTTTAGGAGTATGTATGTATTGTGCTCCATGCTTGGGATTTGTCAAGGTCTGTTAATAACAGAATCAAAAGGCTGTAAAATGAATTTCACTAAAACATGAAATATCCTAGCCCTGTGTTTGTTTGACCACATTTAATGCACACTTTTTTGCAATGCACCTAAATGAACCTAAAATTAATTGCTTTGTTCATGTGTAAAAGTTTGTACATTTAAGTATTTCATTGGCTGCATGCTATGTGCTAATGAATGCAACAGTCACATCAAACTTGATCAAAACACTTTTGTTAACATTATTTTCCCCTCAAACAGCAGTGAGACTGAAGTTCCAGCTCATGACATCACTGTATTTCTCATGAACATGCATCTTGGCACCATCATAAAAAGATGTAAAAGCCTGAAACATCCAAAGACTTGGAATACAGAGGTGCATTTCCTAAAATAAAAACCTCCAAATCTGTTTCAAAAGCACTTAAGAAAAAAAAATCTTTATTTACAGTGAACTTTCAGGGTTATCCATATGTTAGTACCAATACAAGTACATTTTCACACTGCAAAAAGTAACAGACTTGCTCATTTAAAGGAAGGGTAGATCATTTGTCATTTGTGCATTTTTTTTCTTCATTTGAAGCAACAAAAGTGCTCAAAATCTAAAAACGGGTGCTTAACAACTAAACACAATGAAGTTTAAGCTCTGTGAATGCAGTATATTCCAAAACTATACTCTAGGATCTCAGGTTCAATTCAAAAGTTGCTGAGTCATGTTTTATATTGCGTCCCAATTCAGCTTCAGGGACACATTCTCATTCTGTCAATTGCAGCCACGCGATGTCATGCACTGAACTGACGTATAATAGAAACCTAGTGTGCGTGTGCGTCGTGTCAACGCTTGTGCGCACATATTCATGGATTCACCAAATTTACAAACCAACTACGTGAACTAACTTGATGCATCGTTGGAAATAGCTTTCTTTCATTGTTTCCTTCAATATGACAGCATGCCAGAAAGAATGATTTTACAGGAAGTTTAGTACCATTAAAACCAAAAGCCTTTCAACAATAATTTTGTCAGTTACTTTTTGGATAGCTGCAAATGATCTACTCTACCTTTAAACACAAACAAAAATTTGAATCAGATAACAATTAAATTATTTGGGATTTGTTAATTTCTGAACCATTTACATACATACATTGCATGAATACCAGCTGTTCTCTTTACTGATAGTTGGTTGCAATCTGCTCTGGGCGGGTCTGCACATTTCTGATGTCATGGTGCGTACATGTATTGGCAATTCGCTGAAGTAAAACACATTTCAACTCCAGCATAATGTGCTGTGAATGTTTCTCGATGTCAAATGTACTTGGCATTCCAATGAAGAAGATGTATGAAACGGCCTTAAATCTGCTCTACAGTTAAAACACGGCAGCAAGTTCAAAAGCACATTGACTCTGCACATTGCTGCCCTTACATGGATAGCTTGCACTCATCAGGTACCAGGGAACATTTTTCCTGACAGCTTTCCAAAGATTGACTCCCTTCTGGTTCTGGATGTACATGCTTCTCCCCTTGTGCTGATGGCTCGGTGCCAGTCAGCCCAGGACATTGTTCCTGAGTACTTGCAAGTGACTGCTGGTTCTCTGCTGGTTTTGGATGTACACACTGTTCCCCTTGCATGGATGGGTTGCAGTCAGTCAGACTAGAGCATCGTTCCTGATGAGAACTTGCAAGCGCTGGGGTCCCTGCTGGTTCTGCATGTACCTCAACATGCACTTGAACATGCTGCTGACTGTGCATGGATGCCTTGCTGCTGCTTTGCCTGGAACATTGTTCTTGACAGCTGTCCAGTGACTGCTGACTTGCTGTGTGTTGTGCATGCCTTTGGCTTGGTGGCTTGCTGCTGCTTGGCCTGGCAGCACAGTGCTCTTGGTCATTTTTTGCCTGTGGAATCACACAAAGCTCAATCTGCTTCCCTGGCTGCGATGGTCGGCTGGGATTCCGTCTTGGGCAACAACGACAGCACAGTTTCAGGAATAAGAAAGCCTTGACTACAGCTTCACGATAGTCAACGTTTGTGGCACTGTAGACCAGGGAATTAATTGAGCTATTGATCAGTTGCAAAATTGCAATGCATGTAGCCAGAATATGTATTGTCTCTCCAAGTTCCAGATTGGCAACAATCTGAGCAGGTGAAGTGTACTTTGATACAAGTGCATGTATTGTCATAATTGCAGCTGCAATGTTCAGTGAGTTCAGAATGAAGAAAACAGCAGTGTTGATGATAACCATACAGAGGACCTTGCCTGCTCGCTTGGGACGGTTCGGCAACAGGGCTGATTGCTTGCGTACTTTCAATACTACATAGATGTACAAAGCAAGAGTTGCTATCAAAGAGGCAATGCAGATAATGGAAAGAATCCCAAGGTAGACTTTAATGGAGACAGCCTCTGTTAATGGTAAGAAAATCAGAATCACACCAACAATAATTGTTGGCACCCAGAGTCCTGCTGATATCTTTGCTGCTCGAGATTTAGAGGCTTTTTCCTTGAATGTCAGAGGATTTCGTACTGCAGAGAATCTCTCAGCTGCTATGGTAACCACAAAGAAATTAGAAGTAGCGAGGAACGTGTGTCGGACACTTAACATTGCATTGTTGACCAATAATTTGTACTCTATAGGTGAAAACAATGCAAATATGAAGTGAGTCATAAGGTAGAGGGAGTCAGCCACAGCCAGATTGGATAAGTAGATGTTGATGATTGTACGCATGGACTTCACTCGAATGACTGTGAAGAGAAAGACAAAGTTTAAGCAGAGGCCAATTGGTGCAATGATTTCAGTACTTAACCATGTTATTTGATTAGCTCTTTCACTAATCATGTAAAAGTTCTCAAGTTGCTTTTCAACTTCAGTGTTCCACCCAGTTGATGGAGTGGGGCTGTTTTGGTAGCCATCACCCATAGTTCATGCACAATGTAGGATTGAGCTCCGTGAGCTACATTCTATTCAGATGCAGCAAAGAATGTTCTTTTCTATTTCAAGATCACTCCAGATTTATACTTACAGGGATTGTAAGACCTTGAGCAAAGTGTAATTGAAACAGAAAGTTTCTTGGTTTTTTTTCTCTCTTTTTCCCCCAACACTTGTGTCCGATTTTAATGCATGTGACTATCTTGTGGTATCAGTTCCTGTAACCAAAGCAGATGCATGTAAGTCAGTTTCACTACTTGCACTGACATGAAATCTGAGAATTGAATTTGTTTCACTTTTAATAATTTGCTCCAGATTAAACATGCATATTGTGTACATGTAATTGTTTTTTTTATGCAAGTCGTCCCTTCACAAGGCATAAATGCCACTCAATGTGAGGGCTACAAGAAGAAAAGACAGAAAAAAAGAGGATGATAGAAAATGAAGACAATTAAGTTTAGTGTGTGAGAGATGCATGTTCACATTGTGTTTACACAGGGTGAGTTAAAAAGAAAGTGACCTGCACTCAAGATTGATTTTTCTTAACAAGCAATCAAATTAGATTCACCGAAAAAAGTATGTCTTAAAGGAGCATGTTCTTCCACTCATCTGAAAAAACACAATCACTAACATTGATCCATGCCATCCAAAGTTATGCATGTTTTACTAAAAAGAACCCATTTGTGTTGCTTTCCAAGGAATGCGATAATATTGCAAGCTAAATGAGCTAAGTGAGAATTTCAGATTACACACAAGCATTCAAATAGAAATGAAATTGTAATGATTGAAATCAAGACAATTTTTACTATCAGGTTGTGTGTTTTCAATATGAGAAACAAGTCAACTCTCTTTTTCTTTGAAATATTGATGGTGATTTTTGTATTTTTATATATCACGGAGGTGGGAAAACGATGGATGTTTTATTGTCCTCAGTGGGTACATGTATTATCAGTTCACAGCACGGTAATCGATAAGTGGTGGACAGCCAAGTTTTGTGATCATTTTATAGAAATGGACATGAATTGGGAATAGAGTATGCAATTTAAGTGAAATTTTCACAGTTAATAGTCAATAAGATGTACTTTATCCGTGTTTTTTTTTAACATAGAACAAGCCAAATATTTTTAATTTGTTTTTCTTCAAATTTGGTCACTTTCTTTTGGACTCATCCTGTAGTTGGTTCAACCGGTCACATGGGATTAAACTTGATGAATACATCCTGAAAATGTCTTTGGGGATAATGACAGTATATGGATGTGATTGGACGGAGGAGCAGGTAGTTGGTAGTTGGTTTCAATTTGGTCTTGCTACTGATGACGGAAAGTAACATTCACTCAAAACATCTTTAAAGCACTAGTTTTACTATGTACAAAGGTAGATGTAGACAACAGCAAAAAAGAGGAGATTTTCTTTTCTATCAATCCTTGCTGTCTTTTTTCCCAAAATGAATTGTGTTCTTCCCTTGGATGTTGATTTATTTACCCATACAACAATTCTGTACTTCCGTTCTGTTTGATATTCAATCTGATAAGGAATGAAGTCAATTGGAAGTTTTTATTCACAAATCACAATTGGATTTCTGTTTATCTGTTGCTTTTATTTTCTTTCCTGGACGAATGTTGGTTGTCATCTGACAAGAGTATTTTTTTTCCACTTTCTGGAGTTGTTGTCATCTGAAATCAGTCTCTGCCTTGCCTGACAATCACGTTGATGTTGTCATATTCTCAGTTTTGTTGATGGAACATCTTTGCAAGACAATTTGCAAGGGCTAACTACTTGGTCTAACTACGTGGTGGCATGATTTAGTAAAGGTTTGTGGTACCACAATGTAGAAGTCTCTTTTGGAAAGATGTGTGGCTCTGAAAAGAACCGGTTGGTTCTTTTCAGAAACACACATCTTCCCAAAAGAGACTCTACATACCTACATGGTGTTACTGCAAACTGCAAACCTTCACAAGAACACTGTCTTCCACAAATGTGACAATTGGGAAGGGAAAAGTGTGCTTGTTTATTTTTTATTGGGGGAGGGGAATGTAATCCCCAACCCCTTTTCTTCGCCTGACATTCCCCCCCCCCCCTCCCCGCATCTGATACTATGTAAATGTTTCAATAATTGCATTGTTTATGTTTCAGTGATAGATATAAAGTGTTTGAGGACCTACATGGATCTGTTTGGGCCTACAACGACATCCATTCACTAGGAATCAAATTTAGTACAATTGGTTTTCGATTTCATCCATATAACTATTCATCTTCTTTTTCATATATGTAATTTTTTTGTTGCCCTTTGCTGAAGTATTTTACAAACACTGTACACTCGAGTGTTGTCTGAGGGCTTGCAAGAAAAAAACACAAGCTTACGCGGGTTGGACACGAACCCACAATCTTCTGCTTCCTAGTGCAGATGCATCGACCACTGAGCTTGCTGTGGCAAGCTGGCGGTTTGGAGTCTGATGTAGCAGCGCTTAACCCAACTTTGTTTGTGTAGGAGGTCTTTAGTTTGAGTCCCACCTAAGCCTTTGAACAACACTAAGTGTGCAGTGTTTACAAAATATGTCGGCGAAGGGCAAACAAAAATCCAATATAAAAAAAATATAATTTACATCTCGTAATTTTTTTTTAATCCTGCCCAGGTTCCCATCTGAAGTCCATCCAGATGATCCTTAATAAGACAGCAGACGATACAGGCATCGACTCCAACACCCTGGCCTTACAGATGAAGGCCCATCCTGAGCTGAGGGACAAGCTTCATGTCATCACCTCATTTGGGCCTTTGCCTGTCTACCCTGGGGTGGTCAACTCAGAATTACCTGGTAGGTACAGTGGACTCAGTGACCAAGTTCCAGTGTTGTAGTCGAGTCACTAGCCGACTGCATCTGGCCGTACAGTACTATCGCAAGCTCTGTAGTACGGACAGACGCCCAGTGCTTCCCTCAACGCTGAACTCTGATGTAGCGATTTTGCTACCGATTTTGATCGAGATTATCTTCTCATCCAGGACAGAAATTTCCAAAGTTAAGGTTCCTAGTTGTAAAGGAACTCATACCTTTTCAAAAAACGTTCTTTTATCTAAAAATCTTCATCCATCTGACCAAAAAATTGACTTTCAATCATCATCTCCCACGAATATCGTCCCGAAAATGTTCCCCCATGCTATTTAAAAATGGCGACTGCGTTGTAATGTATGCATTATGCAGGCGCACTTGGGCAAGATTATGAATATGCATTCTTCAGTTCATGACCTCGTGTTTGTATGGCCAGCCGCCCCGCGCGCCTGGCAAACGTCATGAACTTAATGCATGGGGGGGGGGGGGGACAACACTGAGTATACAGTGTTTATACATCGGTGAAGGGCAAAGCCTAATACTGAAACATTGATCGCATAGTTTAGGACACTTTACATAATCACCATTATTATTGTACATTGGTGACAATAGTGACAGAAACCTTAACTAGCAAAGAAAAACTATGCCATGAAAGTGGAATTTAGTACTCAATTTTTTTTTTCTGACGTTTTGTTCGATATCGTAGTTGATCCCCTCTGCCCAATGTTATGACAAATTGCTATTGATAACCAGCTATAAATCGTGGTGCGACCAGCTGCAGTAGGCTGGTCCTGAATAGGCGACTAGACTAGTCCAACCATCTTCCACTAGCGTGCGTTCCATCAGACTTAGTCAAACTATAATGAATTATAACGCCTCACCCACAGATTCTGTGTCTTGATTGGCCGAGAGCGAGTCACATGGTACTTTCTAATTTTGCTATCTTCCAAAGCACAGTCAAAAGTACTATACCCATAGCAACCAAAGTAGTATACCACTAGCAACCAAAGTACTATACCCATGATACGGTTTTTGTGTGCAAATGCATGCTGGCGTGCGCGTAGCGCGTATTGTATCAAAGAGAGTGCGCCACAGAGTTGGATTCAAACGTTTTGTATTGAAATAGAAGTTCATTTTAACTGTGTTCAGATTTATGTAATTAAAGGTATTAAAAACCTAGCAGAATCTGTGGGTGAAGTGTTATGAAACAAATATTGAATGCTTTATCTCATGGTGAATTAAAACAAGCATCCGTCAATGATCCATGGAGCATTCAATTTTCCCTTTGCTTCCCCTCAGGAAAATAAAATGTCCAAGGATAACCTGAGGCGGCTAGGTTTACTACACCATTCGAAGCATTCCATATTTGTATACTATGGTCCTTGATTGAACCTGGTTCCATCTAATGGCCTCCAGTTTAGCCAAATTTGTGCGTACTGAATAGTTCTTGTATTTATTCCCTCCACAGAGGAAGTACGGTAGCTGTCCTCACGGAGGCTACGGTCTCGGACTGGAACGATTCTTGACCTGGATCCTAAACCACATGCATATCAGGGACGTCTGCTTCTACCCACGCTTCATAAAACGATGCACGCCATAGATGCGTCAACATGTCGCCTTCAATTCCTGATTCTAAGCATTGCTTATTTGGTGTGGGAAATCAAGATTAATTAGGGGTGGGGCTAGGTTGATCAAGTGGGGGGGGGGGGTTTGATTGTATGCCCTAAGATGGAATTCCTGGAGATAATTTTGCCATTGTATTGTAAGGTATTTCTTCAAGGTGCAGTTTTACACTTTCTTCACAGTTTGCTCTTTTAGTTTCAAGTAATTTGGGTTTTTTTACTAAAACTCAACAATTTGCAAGGGTTAACCTTACATTTTTTACGAAATTTGGCCAAAACAGGACTTGCCTCCAAATGACTGAAGACTTATTTTTTTTGTCCTCAGGCAAGTTTCTGCAAGTTTCCTGCAAGTTTCAAGCAATCTCAATTTTTTGCAATAATTAAAATAGAATATATGTTTACTAAAGTTTTCTCAGAAGACAATTTCTCTAAAACAACAGTCCTTTCTTTGAACTTTATCATGTTTTCTTAAGAAATTCCTTCTAAAATATTCTCAATAACCAAGTGCTGAATAGTTACTTTAATTTCTCATTAAGTTGCATGTATTTTACAAATATTATCATGTATCACTTCAAGTATCTTTCTTTCCTTTCAACTGGGTATGTAACTGTCTACAACAAATATATTTGAATGCAAAACATGTTTTTCTCTTCAAAATGAAAAGAAAATTGAAAAATTATGTCAAATTTTTGTTCAAATTATCCGTTATTTCCCCACTGATAAAAATCCATGTTCAAAGCTTTGGAGACATATTCATTTCTTTTCAGTACTCAAAGTTTATATTGTTGACTTGCTTTTTCAAAAATGTCTACCATATCTATCACAAGCCCGCAGTTTATTGATCCAACATGCACTCTTTAACTCGACTTCAAAAATACAAGTCGACGAGAAATCTATTTAAACAAACTTGCCGTGCGTCTGATTTATCAATTGCAAAACCGTTTGCCCTCTTTAATATAAATAGGTCTGCTCAGAGTATGTACAAGTATGTTCAATCAAAGTAACAAAAGGAAATTTGAACTGCATGTGACAGTACAAGTTTTTTTAACATTGTTTCATTTTGTCTTACAAATATTGCTGTCCAAATTCACGCTCTGGTTTTTGGAAATGATTGCATTTTTCAGTGATTATTACAAGGTTAACACTGGATTTGTTTGTCTTGTTGTTTTATTTCTTGCTTTGATTCAAATGATTTTCTAGTTTAAGGTTTCTGAAATGAATGGATTGAATAAAATTGCAGAGTGCAACTACTAAGCTCTATGTATAAGGTGTGACTTTTAAAATATTTCTGAGTTTTATTAACTTTCATTATTTTGTTTCTCTCAAATGCTTGGCCAAATAAAAAAAATACTTTTATCCAAACGACTCCGAAACCTCTTTCGATGTCAGATAAGTATCTATCAACATTCAAGCACATTATTTTGAAGATTTGGGCAAAAAAAATCACCGACTAATTGATTAAAAGAATATCATTTTTAGCCAATCTTTCAATAGAGGGCGCGCCACATGCACAGTGGTCGCTACTCGTACAGCGTCAACACGGATGTCTGACTTTTGAGTAAAAAGAAGACATTCATGTTTCGGGCAATATATCGGGGAATACTGAATGAATTAACTCATTATTTCGTTGGGTAATTGTTCATAATGTGTCACGGTCGCCAATTTAATTTCAAGAGTGTTTTAACCGTCAAAAATATACTCAAGGTTCGGGTAGCGATTAATTTACAGCTTGTATTGAATCGAATTCCGTCCAATAACTCTTCATAATGTATCACATTCAGGAGTATATTTTCAATCATGGGGATTCGTCCAACAGGAAAGCACTTGAGATCGAAACAATTAAGTGTTTTAAACGTGCAATATCGTCTTTTGAAAAAAATTCAAGGGGTTAGCCTTACATTTGATAACAACTATTGATAACAGAACATTTGCCTCACTTTTGCACAGGAACGATAGTCCACGTCGACACGCTATCTCAAAAATTAATTGGAGCATTGAATTGAATTTTGGCAAGATAATTGATCATGAAAAGAAGACAAACTAGACGGAAGATTTAAACGAAATATTGTTTTTCTCTCCCTAAACAGTGTCTTGTGTCGCAACACGTAGCAAAACTTGGCGACGGGCTGCAGTGGCAGTCCAAACAGAACATTAGCCTCACTTTTGCACAGGAACGATAGTCCACGTCGACACGCTATCTCAAAAACTAATTGGAGCATTGAATTGAATTTTGACCAGATGATTGGTGACGAAAAGAAGACAAAATAGACAGAAGATTTAAACGAAATATTGTTTTTCTCTCCCTAAACAGTGTCTTGTGTTGCCTCACTTTTTCACAGGAACGATAGTGCACGACGACACGGTCATGAAAAGAAGACAATATTGTTTTTCTCTTCCTAAACAGTGTCTTGTGTCTGAACACGTAGCAAAACTTGCTACGGCAGTGGCATTCAAAGGGTTAGCCTTACATTTTTCGTCAAAATCGTCAAAAGCGGTACGTACCTCTAGGGGCGACTATTGATGGTCGCCTCTAGCGGAACGTACCTCTAGGGGCGACTATTGATGGTCGCCTCTAGCGGTACATAGTTTTTTATCTTAATTTTTCGACAGGATTTCCCCTTTCCCCAAATCGATTGCTGTACAGATGTGCAAAAATCGTCAATTTTTGGAGGGAAAAAAAGAAATTTTTTGGGGCGATTTAACCTTAATTTTTCAACAGAATTTCCCCTTTAATAGCACAACTGTCCAGTAATCGTTTTGGAATGCGTTCTAGGACCCTTAAGGCGTCTTTTTAGCAACTTTCAGGAAATTTCATTTTTTGGCCAAAATTTAAAAAATGCAAGGGGTTAGCTAGCCTTACATTTTTAGTCAAAATCGGCCAAAAATTTACTTTTCTCAAAACTAGGCAGAAATTCATCTGGATGCTAGAGGAACATCAATCAATACTCTAACACACATAATTTTGAAGATTTTTGCAAAAATCATCATTTTTTTGGAAAACAAAGTAATTTTCGACACAATTTCCCTTTTAATAGCACATCTGTCCATCAATCGATTTGGAATGCGTTCTGGGGCCCTTAAGACATCTTTCTAGCAACTTTCAGGTAATTTATTGAATTGAAATTTGGTATTTTGTTTAAACTAGATAGATAACACAAATCTCTTGAATTTGGAGGGGAATCAATAATTAATCAAGTTATTATAGGCCTAACCAAAACAATGTACATGTAGCGTGTTAAGCGCGATCAATATAAGCTGAATTCAAGTCAACTTTCATGGAACAAAAATGACACACTCGTTGTGGAGACGATATCTCAAGAAATTTGTTATGTATTGAAATCAAATTTTATTGAGTGTTTTGTCGTCATAGGTTACACAAACTGTTTGAAATTGAAGAAGAATCGTCAAAAAATAAAAAATAATTTAACCCGAACATGTTACCATGTTAAGCGTGAAAAATACAATGCGAAGTTTACTCAACTTTCATGACACGAGCAACACACTCGGTTTCCAAAAAATAACTCTAGAAACATCTCTTACATTGAATTGAAATTTCATACATTGATTAAAGTGGATAGATAACGCAAATCTGTTGAAATTGGAGGGGAATCAATTAATAATTAATACAATTATTATAACCGAAACAATGTAGCGTGTTCAGCGAAAAAAATGGCAATTTAGTGTCAACTTTCACGACACGAAAACAACACACTCGTTTCCAGAATATAACTCAAGAAGTATCTGCTGCACTGAATTTAAATTTTGACTACTATTTAAACTAGACAGATAATACAAATTTGTTGAATTTGGAGAGGAATCGTTTATCAATACAATTATTATAATCGAAACAATGTAGCGTGTTAAACGCGAAAAATAAATTGCATGGCAAAATTGAGTCAACTTACATTGAACAAAACCAACAAACTCATTGTGGAGACGATATCGTAAGTAACATTTAATGTAATAAAGTAATAGTGTGATTAAGTAATAAAGTCATTGGTTGTCAAACAATAAAATAATTTAACCAAAACAATGTAGCGTATTAAGCTTGAAATATACACAACAAATTTGAAGATTTGGACAAATTGACTGATCTATTGAGAAAAAAAATGTCATTTTGAACCGCTCTCCCCCAAATTTTCAATGCAATGTTCGGTTGAGAAGCACACGGGTCCAGAAATCCAATTAGAATGCGTTTAAATGTCCTCTAAGCATTTTTTTCCCTGCAAGTTTAAACAATTTCGTTTTTGTTTTTGCCAAAATCGAAAAAAAAATCAAGGACCCAGCTTTAGGCCTACAGTAATATTTAAATGTTAAAAAAAACCCCAAAACTGCTGACTTTTCTCTAAACGACAAGTATGTACACCTGATAAATACAGGAATCACAACAGTGTTCATATTCGTTTGCCTCAGCACTCTGGATATTTATTCCAGCTGATACATATATTCTGATACATGTGTATTGAAACGTTTTACACAACATACACAGATGTAAAACAGTATACATGTACACTCGTGTTCAATCTAAGATCAAATCTGATTCTTTTCGTTTGAATATAAAAGGTAGAACAATCACATAAATTCACATCAGCTGTTTTGTACATACAATGTACATAACATACAGGGATTTCAGGAATACACTGTAATTTTGAAGCTTACCTTGGGCAAAATAAACGAAACTATCTGGCAATTTAGAACAACGAAATTATGTTTGAAAAATAGAACTCTTGCACTTATTTCTATAACTACAAATACTCATTTACTGCAAGTTGGGTTACAAACTGAATATTATTTTAAAATAGGGACTTCTGTTGCTCGCTGTGCACAAGCCTTGCAAAGAATGACCACGGTTGCATTGGCGAGCTCATGCTGGCATTTGATTGGCCAGCAGCAGGAGATGCCGAGCTCTGATTGGGCAGCATATCCACCTCATCAGACTGCGAGGACTGGTACCATGCCTCATCGTCACAGCAACTGTACAACAGATAGGTGGACTCTGGGGACCTTACCTCTGGGATCTGACTAAATTCAAATCCTTGACGTTGGGATTGGTTTATCATGTTGACATGTTCATAGCCTGGTTTCCGTTGCCACAACCCAGTCGTCGATTCGAAAGCGGCATTAGAGGCAATCATGTTCCCCGTGTTGTAGGTGGGCATAAGAGTGCAGGACAAGTCAAGGGGTACAGACTCTTTGCCGACTTCAAAAGCAATGGCCGATGTTGTCCACTACTGGCTCGGAATCACTGACTGTTATTCCACGCAACGCATCAATTCCACTGCTGCGTTTTCTCTGTTGTTTGGAAGATTTTCAATTCCGTAACGGGTTTAGAGCATGGGGCTGGGTCAAACAATCTTGAGAGTCACCGTCACATTTGTTATTACTGTTGTTGTTGTTGTTTACAATTGCCAGGTTGGATATTGTAGCACATGATTCATAGCCCCGTCGACTTTGAATGTTGGGCTGTGTTTGTCTCGACTGGCGGTTGAGTTGTTCTTGTGCTTTTTACTTTTCTCAGCATCCTGCATGTGACATAGCTTCTTCACGTTAATCATCGCTCCTCTAGATCCATGCCCTGCCCTCCCCTTTCTGTGTTTCTGCCTCGTCTTACATTTAGGCGGCGGCACGCTTGTTGTAGTCGCTGAGCCTGTAGCAACTCCAGCTGCAGGCGTAGATGCTGAAGCAAGATGCGTTTCTGGATGTCCGTAGGAGGCTTCATAGCTCCTGAAGAATTGACGCCACCTGCAGTCAGTGAAGACTGAAGGAGGGATGGTGGAACCTAGACAGAAATAAAAAACAAATTTATAAAAGTTAAATAAAACAGATTTTTAATTGGCTTGAGAAAAATTTTGAGGCGCGCCGGGAAGTTTGGGTAGAACAGGCAGGGCTGTTTCAAGGAAGTAACAGGCAGGGTGGTCCACGGTGGTATCGGTACAGGGATTAACAGGCAGGGTGGTTTGGGGCAGTACAGGGATTAACAGGCAGGGTGGTTTGGGGCAGTACAGGGAGTAACAGGCAGGGTGGTTTGGGGCAGTACAGGGATTAACAGGCAGGGTGGTTTGGGGCAGTACAGGGATTAACAGGCAGGGTGGTTTGGGGCAGTACAGGGGGTAACAGGCAGGGTGGTTTGGGGCAGTACAGGGAGTAACAGGCAGGGTGGTTTGGGGCAGTACAGGGAGTAACAGGCAGGGTGGTTTGGGGTAGAACAGGGAGCAACATGCAAGGTGGTTTGGGGAAGTACAGGGAGTAACAGGCAGGGTGGTTTGGGGCAGTACAGGGATTAACAGGCAGGGTGGTTTGGGGCAGTACAGCAATTAACAGGCAGGCTGGTTCGAGGCCGTACAGGGAGTAACAGACAGGGTGGTTTGGGGCAGTACAGGGAGTAACAGGCAGGGTGGTTTGGGGCAGTACAGGGAGTAACAGGCAGGGTGGTTTGGGGCAGTATAGGGAGCAACATGCAAGGTGGTTTGGGGAAGTACAGGGGGTAACAGGCAGGGTGGTTTGGGGTAGTACAGGGAGCAACAGGCAGGGTAGTTTTGGGCAGTACAGGGAGTAACAGGCAGGGTAGTTTGGGGCAGTACAGGGAGTAAAGTCCGGTTCATACTTCATGCGAATGCGAATGCAAGCGAATTTGACATCATGAAACATTCGCTGCGAAATTTGCCCCAGTTGAAATGTGTTAAACTTTTGCGAATTTGCAGCGCGAATACTTGCCATGACGTCAAAGATTTGCATTCGCTTTCGCATGAAGTATGAACCGGGCTTAAAAGGCAGGGCAGTTTGGAGCAGTACAGAGAGTAACAGGCAGAAGGTTTGGGGCAATACATGGGAGTAACAGGCAGGATGGTTTGGGGTAGTACAGGGAGTAACAGGCAGGGCAGTTTGGGGTAGTACAGGGAGTAACAGGCAAGGCGGTTTAGGGCGGTACAGCTTTGGGTTATTAACCAAATGCTTACATGGTCATACATCCTGCGGCTCGTATCAAACTCAGTCAATTGATTTCCACCGACCAATGGCTGAACGGCAGGCGACGTCACAGTCATGACACAAACCGACGGCGCGTGGGCGGTGGGTTGAGTAACAACTGACAATCTATGGGGTGATAGGACACCAGCTTGCCGGATACCAGTTACAGGCGCTGCTGTCGTCGGGTTGTTCTGGTGAGCAGACAATCTGAGGCAGGTGCTATGTTGTAGTAACTGTGCCGTGCCTGGCATCACGGTGTTGTTGCAAGTGATGAGGAATTTGTTGTTGCGAGCTTGTCTAGAATAAAAACAATTTGAAATGTGCTATTAAACCTGTTTTTAGTTGTGATGCAAGGTCCCTAAAGAAAAGGCCTGCCAAATCTTTTGAGCGACATTCTGCTTGTAGATTTCACCAAACAAACAAAAAGGAATCCCATTGAAGCTCCTGTAAGCCATCGATACAATGAGTTTGTAGAAATTAAGCATTCATTTGCCTTCAAATTTGTATTTTATAATATCTTGTGCTTTCTGAAATTTGTTCTCGCATGGCTCTCGCAAGTAAAACACAAAATACACAGTTCTTAAAGGATGTTTGTGTGGATGTTTATAATCGACTTTAAATGCTCTTTCCATTTGATATTGTTTTGTAGCCCAATTTGGCGTATTCCAGGCCGTAATGTCCCTTTAATATGCTGTACATACAACTGTAGGGTGTGGATGGGCATAAGTTGACGCGGGATGATTTGGCTGTGACAAATGTCCGCTGTGTTATGTAAAATCAAAAGTAGAAACCCAAATATGAAAATTTATCTTCAATCAAACTTAAATCATTGATCCTGATTGGTCGATCCATGGCAACTATTATTAGTTATGGTATTATTAGTTATCCCGCGAGTGCGAGTGGAACACGGAATAATGCAGTGTGTCTGTGTCCCACATTCGGCTGAGTGGTATGTGGGACACAGACGCACTGCATTTTTTGTGTTCCACGCGCGTGAGCGCGATAACAAATTTATCTTTAAGCAAACTTGAGGCACAGTAAAAGATGAAACACACATGCCGCTGTACATGTTCGTATGGAATGGCGCGCGCATCTTAAAATAGTGCAATATGCGGAGTGGACCGTGGCCGTGCTACATGGTTATATGTAGCACGGCTTGTTGCCATGGATTCACCAATCAGGATCGAGGATTCAAGTTTATTTGAAGATAATATCTCATATACCATTGTCCATATCACACTCTGCCTATCATATGGGCCTAACCATCGCTGAGAACAGACAGTTATCTAAAATACTACATCCGTTTAACAGCTGTGAGTTGGCTGTTGACTTCATGCATATGCTCGGGTACACTACATATGTCTGTGCATTACTTTCCCCTGACAGAGCTGGCACTCAGGCACTCCCTGTGACCTATGGGTTCTATGCACGACAGATTCCACAAACTGCACTTTGAGGGTTGAAAAAGAACAGCGTTTTTTTCGTGGTTTTTCAGCACCAATGGAGACACAATACATTGAACAGCTCAGTGGAACGATGTCAGCTATAAATTATTAGCCCAGGGTTCTCCCCACGTACAAACGTGCGTATCGGCCCGATACGCTGGAATTGTGGCCCGATACGCCGACAAAAATGCCGATCACATTTTTCAGCCCCCGATACGCACAATATAATTTATTACACAAGCCATTAAAATGCACAACATTATCGTTTCATACGCCATTATTTCATCTTGACATTCAAAATCTTGACAAAAATCCCGTATTTCTGATGCTGCATGTGTGATCAAAATGCACACGATGACGGGTCTTTCGCGACGACCGCCAGCACCCAGCTATATATTAGCGCATTCAGCATGGTACATACTCCTAGAACTATGTAGTGGAGCCTCATAGGTTCAGAACCCCGCAAAATTGTTGTCGGCACAAAACACTAATTCAGTACAAAAACGTCCATCCCAACCAAGCCGTTTCCCACAGAACCGCTGCACAGTTTGCCCCTAAACTCCGTACAATACCTCATGACATTCTCACGTTATGTGCACCCAACAAACATCGGTGGATTCTGTCGGTTTTTCGGCAAAATGATGGAAAATATGCCTTTTCCGCACTGAGCCAACCTGACACTTGAAATTTGCACGCGCGCAAAATGATCGCAGTCATATTCGGGTTCGATAGCTAGCTAGCTCGGAGCGCGCCGCGGGGGGTACGTACTCGCACTTGTACGCATGCGCATACTATCGTTCCGCTCCTACACCATAACCCCCGCGGCGCGCTCCGAGCGATCGGACCGAAAATGAATGTGATCATTCTGCGCGCGTGCAAATTTCAAGTGTCAGGTTGGCTCAGTGCGGAAAGGGCATATTTTCCATCATTTTTGCAAAAAAAAAACGACAGAATCCACCGATGTTTGTTGGGTGCACATAGCGTGAGTATGTCATGAGGTATTGTACGGAGTTTAGGGGCAAACTGTGCAGCGGTTCTGTGGGAAACGGCTTGGTTGGGATGGACGTTTTTGTACTGAATTAGTGTTTTGTGCTGACAACAATTTTGCGGGGTTCTGAACCTATGAGGCTCCACTACGTGGAGCCTCATAGTTCTAGGAGTACATGGTACACTGGTTCCCTTCGCGTGCTAACAGTATCAATGCTATGATGAAGGACCAGTGACTACTGCCTTGTACGTGCATACATGATGATTTCGGCCGAAGTTGGATCGTAAAAACACCAAACAAACATCGATGGAGAAAGAGAATTTCTGCAAATTAATTCACAGAACGTGATCTCTATTTTCTGTGTATGTATTTTCCATTAAAATGACGAGATTGCAAAGCTCGAACGTATGGCGAAACATCGTACGCGTAGCATGCTTCTTAGAAGCAGTGGTGCAAAATTTTCAGCCACATGGGATGGGCCGTACTCAGTTCAGTAATGCACACTGATGCTGCGCCGTGTCGGTGAGCACAGCGCGATGTACAGCCGGCCAGACTGAATGTTGACGGCGCCAGGGGCCATGATGTACGTTAAACATATTGTGGAATCAACTACCTCAAATATATTTTTAATTAGGTGAGACAAGTTTTAATCACTTTTGATGGTCAGTCTTGATAATTTTCGTGGTGCAAAGGAAAATAATCCAGGCACAAAACTACATGATTCCTTGTTCAATATGCTCCATTCAATCAAGTGTTTTTATTCCTCCATGATTCAATCAGCAGCCCAAAAAATTGGCGAAATAATTTTTCCGACTTACCGACGCTATTTTGAAAGGCATGTAATCGGAAGCAAAAGTGATATTTTTCTTCACCTTAATTTCTTAATTTGAACTTGCTTGTTAATATAATTCATACTTTCTAGATCAGGAAGGATTCTTATTCCTCCATGAACACAGGTTTTGAAATGTTGATTTTTTTTTTTAAGTTAAAAATTTTGATATAATTTTTTCTTTAATTACAAAAAATATCACATGATCTCCTCTAAATTTTAAGGGAAATCTTCCTCAAAGACTCCCCAGATTTGCTCTAAAATGCACCAGAGAGCCTCTAAAGTTCAAAATTTTTAGGGGCCCTTAAGCGGGCCCCGAACCCCATGCCATGGCTTCGCAGGTTGGTGAATCACAACAAAACTTCCCCCACAGGTTTGAAAAAATCCTGGGGAGAACCCTGTAGCCCTTAAATTTGGTCCAGTTCATGAAATGGTGGCAAATGATCCTATATGCCTTGAACTCAGCTTACTTTCCCGGCTGGTCCTATCTGATTTTGGCGAGCGCTGTGGCTCGTCTGTCGGTGTTCTGGAAGATTGCCCGGATCAGGCTCTTCACGTCACTGGCGCTGAACACCATGGCGAGTGGTCCCTGGAATGATGGAGAGAAACACAGTCTCAAATGTTTAAAGAACAACTAGACAAGAACAGGAGTTCCCGACCTAAATAATGTTTTAAATTTTAAAGTTGAACAAAGAAATTGACTGGAGCAGGGTTTGAACCTGCGACCTCGGGATTGCCGTCTCAGTGCTCTACCAACTGAGCTATCCAGCCCACTGTTGGTGGTTTGTCAACGTCTTTGTTCAAGGGGTGCTAGTCAGAAGCCGTAAACCCACATATGCCATGTTGCCAGGGATCACGCCCAAAGTCACGATGCCAGCAACGTTAGCAATGCTGCAAACCTACAAATACCAATGGGGACCTGCCAGCATAGGGCTGGATAGCTCAGTTGATCAAGCACCGGAATGGCAATCTTGAAGTAATAGGTCCAAACCCCACTCCAGTCAATTTCTTTGTTCAACCTGACAGAATTTTACTGCTTAATATTTGAATCCTATTGATGTCGTATCTCACCTTGCCCTCCGCCCACCTGTCAACAATATCTTGCATGCTGGCGTCTAACATAAACAGCAACTCGCTGAATGACGTCCACTGATCAACGGTACTCTGTACCAAAACTGGTTCCTACGCATCAATCAAAATACCAAAAGTCAAACATCTTTACAGTAAAGAATACATTTTTAATTGTCTGGAAAAAATAACGAAGCATTCAAGTAATGTACAATGGTGTTTGTATCAATCATGCACAACGCAGATGGCACTGACACACACATCTTTCTTAATGCTATGGAGAGTATATTACCAGGCATGTAGTCGAGTCTATCACAAGTCCCTGCAAGTCCATCACATGTCCATCACATGTCCATCACAAGTCCTCCGGTCCAAATTCAACTCACAAGTTATTCAAATGAGCTTTGACAGAGGCATTCCCTTGTTATTGTTCATCTATTGTTTCTTGTGATTTGACTTGTGACTGGACTTGTGTTTTCCTCACTACTGCACTTGTGATGGACTGGACTTCATCCCTCGTATTCCTCCTTATGAGAATATGTAACAACCCTCTGGAGAATGCTTCTGTAGTTTTCATTTAACAGTATTCAGTTAAAAAACTAATGTATCATTTTATCAGTTGCTACACAAATTGTGTGCCATGAAATGATCTGACACTTCTTTGGATGATTATACAAAATGTACATGAAATATTTGTGAGGCATTCTGGCAAAAATGAGACGGAACTGGGCACAGGCCAAAGTGGAGAAAAATGAAAAAAAAGGGGGGGGGTTGATTTTTGCCCTATGTTTAGCTTTATTGATATTGATTATTTTTGATATGCCTACTACATATATTTTAAAGAAATAGTACAAATATCACAGACTAAAAATGGAAAAAATAATTGGCATTTTTCATTTTCACGAATGCAAAACTCAAAACTTTAAAGGCCTTTTTCTCAGTTTTTTACTTTTTTGACATGTCAATAAATGCAAACTTTAAACAGCCATAACTTGTCCACGGAATGTCCGATTGAAGTGCAACAAAGAGCATTGTTAGGAGAATATTATTCTCATTCCTAATACCAGCAAACCCTCATTCCGACCTCTGCCCAGTTCTGTCTCGTTTGGCCAGAACGCCTCACATATGAGGTGCATCCGATATACCAGATACGTCAGTTTTTGGTGGGATCAACAAATTTGGCAAAAGCATATGAGTCAGAGAGAAAATACCTCAACTTCTCCTGGTTTGATCAAGTGTGGAATTCTGTCTTGTAGTCCCGAGAGTAATGAATGTAACTGCTGCGCATCATCAGCTGAGATGTCCTGAGAAGTTGAGCAAAAAATTCTCTAACCAATTTTCTCTAAAATTTCTCTACCCAATTAGTGGCAGTATTCCACAAGGATATCACAGACGAAACAAGTGCGAGTGCACAATAAGCTCTGGTCACCTTGCATGGAAGTCTTGCATGAAATGATTGTGCATACAAACTAGTAGGGCCGCCATCCTATGCGAAAATAACGAGCTGAAAATTGACCAAAATAAGCCCCCAAAGTTTCCCATAAAAATAGCGCGCTATACTCCACCTGCCTTTAACATTACTGCACATTATCTTGCCTCCATTTACAAAATTTTCATAAACAACTTTACAAATTGTTTTGTTGAGTATTTCATTGTTTTTGTTTGCTAAAATTTGGTAGTTACATTTTATGGGAAACTTAGGGGGCTTGTTTTTGGTCAATTTTCCAGGGACAGACATATATGCAAAACAGACGCGCATGCGCATCGATAGAGACAAACCCCGTTTTCCAGTAATGTTCGTCAAGAGTGCATTTACTGACGACGGCATGGCATTTGGTCAATTTTCGGTCATATATATTTTGTAAATTTTCGGGGACAGACCATAGACATATAATAAAACCTAGACACAACATTACCTGCTTTTATGTTGTAAATTCTGTGAGCAAAACGGGCTGCGCCACGCAGCTTAATTACGCGATGCGCGAGTGTCATGCATGGCTTCGATTTACACGCATACTTTATACCTAAAAGATCCTATAGCGCCGCGTAGCGCCGTGCCTACGGCGCTTTTGGATTTTTGCTTCACGCGTTATTCTATACGCGCAGCATTTTGCTCACAGACGCAATAGCAAATGTCGTGTCTAGGTTTTCTTACATGTATATGTCTATGGGACAGACAGACAGACAGACAGACAGACAGACCAACCGACCGACCACCAAGTGACATGTAGACGCTCCTGCCACAGCTTAAAAATAGTCACTAAAACATGTTGAGTTAGGAATTTTGGCAGCCCATAGACTCCTTGCACAAGTACCAGCTCCACAGTTACAAAAGGAGGATTCGGGGAGACCACTGGAAGGGGCAATCTAATGCATTGCCAACGGCGCCTGACGCCCATGCCAAGACGCCAGAGGTTTGTACAGAATTCAATCAGTTGTGTGTTCTTGCACCATACATGCATGAAACAGTCAAATAAATGTTAAGGATCTTCGCACCTCTAGTGACGAGACTTTCTCCACAATGTGCATGAGTACCGTGTTGATGAGTGTAGACATGGCCTTGGTGTAGATGTTACTGGGGAGGATGTCGGTCCAGACTCGCTGGAGGTGACCCAACTGGTGGACAACCTGCAGTGGGATAAAGACAGGGATGAGATTGCCAATTCAAAAAGAAAAGGTCTGAAAAAAATGGATATTAGGTCTAAAAGATGCATTCGTTTTGAGACCGTTACCGTAATTTTCGGAATATAAGCCGCGCGGCGTATAAGCCGCAGTGCGCAAAAATCTGCAAATTAAGATTTGAAGTCAGCGTATAAGCCGCACCGGCGTATAAGCCGCACCGACCGCAGTGGTTTCAATTTTGTAGGGCCTCCAAATTCTAGTCAAAATGCTCTGAACCAGTTCCATTTACACTACGAAAGCTATAAAAAGGACCACAAAAGTTATATCAAATCATTCACAGTTGATACTCTTACAATAATACAAACAAATATGGAAATTGATGATGAGAAATAAACACCGGGAATTACTGCCGGCTGCCCCGTCCGGTCCCCGGCCTTAAACGTTAGCGCATGGCCCAGCAGCTAGCGCCGGCAAATGATAACATTTTCCCCCAGCACTTGAGATATATGTAACCCACCGTGTGTTGTCTGACTGGAGCGTTACAAATCTTGCTTTGGGGCAACAGGTGCTGATTTGTTTTGTCCTAAGAATAAACAGGTCCGTTTTTACAACAAAACGTATCAAATTGTTGTGATTACTAACGTCAAAATTCAAGTTGCGATCGTAACTTTCTTCGAAAATAGTCAACACGATGCTGAAAATTTTATGGACGAATCCATTCATTTCGTAAGGGGTGATTTGAAGCCCCTGCTTTGAGTTTTACATCGTTTCTTGAATACATTTCAAGAAAAAAATTATATTGTGACATTGAACAACTGATTATTGAATAGAGAAATATTTGGAACTCCATAAAAAGTATTAGTTATCTTTTGTTCTGTTTTTAAACAGCAGAAATATTGGTAATTATTGTTCCCAAGAAAGTACACCCCTTTATTACAACAAATGGTGTGGTCTATGGGAAAGGCATGCAGCATGCATGCAACACTGCACTAATAATCATGTACAGCCGGTTGTCGATGTCGATGTCAAAGAGACAGCTTTCGCAAGCCATACTTTTTACCGCTCGGTACCTTTTCGTTGGACGTGCTTTCGGTTTGTTTATGACTTTCTTAATTGGTGATTCATTTCAGCAACAGATCTTTCCTTATACCATTACATTAAATATACATTTGAATATCATTTTTATTCTTAACGGCTCGGCGTATAAGCCGCGGCTTATATTCCGAAAATTACGGTAATGTCTTTCTCTCAGATATATATAAGGTCTGATTTCAAAAACTTCATTTTTATCAATAAAATGTAAAATTTGAAAATTCTTATGTGGAAATTGAAGTTCTTGATATAGTGGGGCAGATAGGGCAAATATTTGGGGCAATTGTGCCTTTGATGATACAAGCATGGCATTTGGCAAATAGTCAGAATATGTCTTAAGAAAGATATTTGGTTACAGGGTCATTGCAGATTTGTCCTTTGAAAAAATATAGGTAGAAATTTTCAGAATGGCTGCCATTGCTTGTTATTCTACCTATATTCTACCTATAAGGACAAATCTGAGTGCCTTGCACAAGGGCACACACACCATAGCCACAGACTGGACTCGAACCCACAACCCGCAGAATTACCCGCAGACCACGAATTCAATGCTCCAGACCACGAGGCCACAGCACTCTACATGGCTACAATTTTGTTGGAAACAAATAAAAAGACAACATATCGAACATATACATGTATTTGCAAATTATATTGCAATGTCCAAATTAAACAAGTCAGGTGTGTTTACAAACACAAATGCCCCGCAACCGTGACTGTTCCCATGACATAACACCACTCTTTTAACATCAACTTACATGTACCTTAGTCACATGGAACATTCATGGACAGCATTAGTGTCTTCTGTAGGTTTTATATGAATTAATCCCTAATCCCTATAATCTCAGAATAAATACAAGATTTCTATTGTTTTAGCCACTGTGAACTTGACCCTTGACCTTTTGGCCCCAAATTCAATAGGCTTCTTAGATTACCAAGAACAATCCACAAACCAACTTTGAAGTTCATATGTTAAGTATTTCTCAAGTTATCGCGCTGACAAGATTTCTATTGTTTTAGCCACTGTGAACTTGACACTTGACCTTTTGACCCCAAATGCAATAGGCTTCTTAGGATTGCCAAGAACAATCCACAAACCAAATTTGAAGTTCACATGTAAAGTATTTCTCAAGTTATTGCGCTGACAAGATTTCTATTGTTTTAGCCACTGTGAACTTGACCTTTGGCCTTTTGGCCCCAAATACGAAAGGCTTCTTAGGATTGCCAAAAACAATCCACAAACCAAATTTGAAGTTCACATGTAAAGTATTTCTCAAGTTATCGCGCTGACAAGATTTCTATTGTTTTAGCCACTGTGAACTTGACCTTTGGCCTTTTGGCCCCAAATGCGAAAGGCTTCTTAGGATTGCCAAAAACAATCCACAAACCAAATTTGAAGTTCACATGTAAAGTATTTCTCAAGTTATCGCGCTGACAAGATTTCTATTGTTTTAGCCACTGTGAACTTGACCTTTGGCCTTTTGGCCCCAAATGCGAAAGGCTTCTTAGGATTACCAAGAACAATCCACAAACCAAATTTGAAGTTCATATGTTAAGTATTTCTCAAGCTTGCTGTGAGTGGGCCGCTGACAGATATTTCTGGCCTCTCTCCCTGCGTGTGTATCTGTCATCGGATCGGAGTACCCAAAACTTTGACGTGTATACACGGCCTCTGGCGCAAACTGGTTAAAGCAGGCATGCAATTTTTCCTTGGATCCACTGATTTCCTCGTTTTTTTACTTCTCATGAATACCATTACAAATTGAAAAACAATGTACAAAGTCATGTGTGGTTCAGAATTTCCTCGTTTTTTCAAAATTCCACGTTGCATGCCAGTCAAAGGTACATGGGAACATTTGCTTTCTGTGCATTTTTATCTTTTTTTGGCTCAACAAGCAGACAACAGTGAAATTCAGAAGTACCAAATGACTGTTTGAAAAAGTCTAGAAGTTGACTCACCAGACTATCTCTGTGGTATGTGGGTACGACATCACAAAATATCTCAAACATGTTTCGCACTGTGTAGAACAGCTGGATGGCACTGCAAACATAAAAATAAGACATTAGCAAAAATGCTTTACACTACGTGGGTTAAAGTTGAATATATTGCGTACACTGACCAACAAAATGTTCAACACATTTTAATTTGCTTAAACAAAAGGCACGTTTGCTTTTTCACATGATTTGGGACAAGTGCGGCCAAGTGGTTTGGGTTCGTGACTCATGATCAGAAGGTCATGGGTTCGAATCCACCTGCTGGCCCCATGTTTTGACCTTGGGTAAGCCACTTCATCCCCAATTACCTCTCTCCACCCAGGAGTACAAATGAGGTACGGGCATTAGCTGGGGAGTAACCTGTGATCTGGCATCCCATCCAGTGGGTAACAAAAATTTTCTCAGCCGTTTCATACCACTAAAACCAGCAGCTTGAGGCGCTTGTACATAACATGCCTTTGGCTCGACCACGTTGTAGCTGCTTCTTACCAATTCAGCTTCTTCTGCGAGTAAGGATGATTAGCTCCCCACATTTATTTATTATTTAAGCCTTCTAGAACACGTAAAGCCAGATGGACACATTTTCCAACTCACCATTGCGGTGTATTACTAGCAGCTTCTTGTAATGTCTGGTAGGCTAGATTAACAAGACACTCTATGCTTTCACTGACTGCACACTCAGGCAGTGCAAAGATACCCTCGCTCACGTGGCACTTGTCCTGAAAGAAGACAAGGAGAAAGAATTTCAAATTTTTCCTTTTTTCCAAAACATCATCTTGAAAGCATGCTCCATTTCATGCAGTGTCAACTTTAATCAAAGGGTTTTCTCAGAGTGCACTGTCGAATACCTAAAGTTTTTCTCAATTTTTTGTTGTTACTTTGCACTTAAGTTATTCAGTTTACCATTGCAAGTGTCCTAATGAAAATACATATTTAATGGTTTCATATTATATATATTTTCAGTACGATAACACACATTTCAATTAACCCTAACCCCCTAGGCCCTTTTGGCTAGGAACCATCCTTAATCCTGCAAAATCCTCCCATTGCCACCATGTAAAAATTACATTCGGCCTTGATCCTCCAAAATCATTGGTTATGTCTTGAATTGCTGCAGTGGAGGGGTGACCATTGCCTCAATCCTTCGAAATCCTCCAACAATCACTGTTAATGGGTTGAGGCAGTGCTGATGACGTTCAGAAGCAGTGCGGATGAAGTCAAGCATATGAACATAACAATGCCGGGTACAGCCTATGAACTTGACCAAATGCTTTCTGCAAAATCAACCCACACTTTTTTTGCCATTCAGCCTCAGTCCTCCAAAATCCTCCAAACCGCCTCAAGGATTTTGGATGATTGAGGGGGGGGGGGGGGGGGTAGGGTGAACGGTTTCAAACTGCAAGAACTTCTCGAAGAAAGATTAGAACGACAAAATTGAATCCACTTTAGTCTCAAAGCGCACAATTTCAAACAAATTCGAACCTTGGTATCTTGTTTTGGATCTTTGACGTCCTTGTTGTCAACCTTCATTGTACCGACTCTCTTTGTATTGTGCAGCTCTCTCTTCATCAGCTTGCGGGCTTCAACTATCAGCTCTTGACACTTCCCAAAAACGAAATAAGATTAGATTTAGATTTAGATTTATTGATTTTCACACCAATCGTGGCCCTGAGGCCAAATTAAAAGTGTGGTACATGAAATGAACAAAAAATACAATAAACCAAAATAAACCGAACATAAAAAAATGTCAGGGGTGTAGTCGAGTACATCACAAGCTAATCACAAGTCCAGTCACAAGTCCAGTCACAAGTAAATCACAAGTCCAGTCACAAGTCCATCACAAGTCCAGTCGCAAGTCAATCACAAGTCCAGTCACAAGTAAATCACAAGTCCAGTCACAAGTAAATCACAACTCCAGTCACAAGTCCAGTCACAAGTCCATCACAAGTCCAGTCACAAGTCCAGTCACAAGTCCAGTCACAAGTCCAGTCACAAGTCCAGTCACAAGTCCAGTCACAAGTCCAGTCACAAGTCCATCACAAGTCCAGTCACAAGTCCATCATTAGTCCAGTCACAAGTCCAGTCACAAGTCCAGTCACAAGTCCATCACAAGTAAGTCACAAGTAAATCACAAGTCCAGTCGCAAGTAAATCACAAGTCCAGTCACAAGTAAATCACAAGTCCAGTCACAAGTCCAGTCACAAGTCCATCACATGTCCAGTCACAAGTCCAGTCACAAGTCCAATCACAAGTCCAGTCACAAGTCCAGTCACAAGTAAATCACATGTCCAGTCACAAGCCCAATCACAGGTCAATCACAAACCCAGTCACAAAAAGTCTCCAGCACAAGTCCAGTCACAAGTCCAGTCACAAGTAAATCACAAGTCCAGTCACAAGTAAATCACAACTCCAGTCACAAGTCCAGTCACAAGTCCATCACAAGTCCAGTCACAAGTCCAGTCACAAGTCCAGTCACAAGTCCAGTCACAAGTCCATCACAAGTCCAGTCACAAGTCCATCATTAGTCCAGTCACAAGTCCAGTCACAAGTCCAGTCACAAGTCCATCACAAGTAAGTCACAAGTAAATCACAAGTCCAGTCGCAAGTCAATCACAAGTCCAGTCACAAGTAAATCACAAGTCCAGTCACAAGTCCAGTCACAAGTCCATCACAAGTCCAGTCACAAGTCCAGTCACAAGTCCATCACAAGTCCAGTCACAAGTCCATCACAAGTCCAGTCACAAGTCCATCATTAGTCCAGTCACAAGTCCAGTCACAAGTCCAGTCACAAGTCCATCACAAGTAAGTCACAAGTAAATCACAAGTCCAGTCGCAAGTAAATCACAAGTCCAGTCACAAGTAAATCACAAGTCCAGTCACAAGTCCAGTCACAAGTCCATCACAAGTCCAGTCACAAGTCCAGTCACAAGTCCAATCACAAGCTCAGTCACAAGTCCAGTCACAAGTAAATCACATGTCCAGTCACAAGCCCAATCACAGGTCAATCACAAACCCAGTCACAAAAAGTCTCCAGCACAAAACCAGAGTCAGTAGAGCCAATTTTTGAAAACCAGGATGTTGTGTTCATTGGAAAGGCCATTGAATGAGCTTTTCAATGATGTGTAGAATACAGGAATCCAACAAAATCTGATGGAGTTATCAATTATTTTTAGTTCCCATATTTTTAACAATATTCTATGTATTATATAGGCTGTAGCTCAAAATACAGCCGAGTGACTTCCAACTGTTTTCGTGCTGGAGGGTCTGAAACAAAGTTTCAGGAGGGAACACACAAACCAAATGTTGCCATTTAAGAAATGTTCAAACATCATATTGAGAAGTAACTAATATATAAAAAAAAAAATTCACCTTTTTGTTAGCAAAGTGGACATTGACATCTCTGGCGTAGGTCAGCAACGGAGAAGCAGTTTCTGCAATAAACCCTGAATAAGAGAAATTCTCTGCTGTTTAAAATATTTAGCTTCAAGGCAGTATTTTTATTTCATTATTTATATGAGGCTTGAAACGAACCAGGATGACAGCAATAATTTGGAAATTCTCCGGCGCGCCCTCATCCAGGCATTTTCGCTGGAAACTCACAGTTGTCAACCACTCAACAGAGCGTAGTGCGCGGTACCGTTGAACAAAGACGCCCACGCAGCAAGCATGCAGCGCACAGCAGCGCACAGCAGGCCAGGTATACGCGCACTGTTTTCAACAATTACAATGGCAGCTTCAAATAGTTTGACGAAAAAGGAGAAATGAAGACAGTGTCTTGAATTGTATTTCTTGCGAATCAAGTCAGCCTGATATAAATAATATAAATAATATTGGATGGCTTTTTTAGGGGGGGATACAAGAATATATTGCACTCACTATGACAATATTGCACTCGTCTTTGACTCGTGCAATATTGTCATAGCTTGTGCAATATATTCTTGTATCCACCTCAAAGCCATCCAATATTATATAAATATTTCTTCCATATGATTATTTGTTTTGGTTGTTGTTTAAACTGCTGACTGACCTGTTTTCCGGAGAGAAGCTTCAAATCCCTTGGTAGCCGTGATGACAGCTTTGTATTCATTGAGCTAAAATGGTGAATATGATAAAATAAACAAACAAACAAATTTTATCACACACTATTTCTGTAAATACATTTTCAAACATGAATATTCACTACACAGCATTAAATGTGCAGACTTCTTTCTTTTTTTATTCATATACACCACAAAATCACAAGTGAATTTGATTGTTTCTACCAAATTGGCACAATTCCATCACTGAAAACCTCCCGGTTTGATTTTCAAGTGTTTAAGTTTCTAGAACACTTTTTCCAGAAATTTTCCACGTAAGATTTTCAAATAATACTCTGCACACAATAAACGTTAATTCGGATATTACGATACACACGACAAAACATTACAGAAATGATGCTGGATTGTTTTTACACATAAACCCCGACAAAAGTAATCCTGTGTGGCTACCTTTGAGCTGCTTGTGGGTATCGAGTGCACCAGACAATGTGTGATGATACACTTGGACAGCTCTGGCCAGACGTATTCTCCTGTAAAGATCAAAGAAACATTTGGTTACAAACCTAATTTACGTGTCAGACGAACAAAATGAAACAGCACAATCAATTCACTGCCTATGTTGCTGGGATGCAACCTCTATCCTGCAAAATCCTCCAACTGCCTCCATGCACAAATTGCACACAGCCTCAATCCTGCAAAATCCTTCATTATTCTTGAATGTGGTCCTTGGAGGGGTGACTGCTGCCCCAATCCTGCAAAATCCTCCAACTGCCTCCATGTAAAAAATGCATACAGCCTCAACCCTCCAAAATCCTCTGGTTTTTTTTGAATGTGTATGCATTGTTGATAGAAAACGTTGGCACTTCCAAGTCATCATGCGGTCATTCCAAAATGCGCCCGCGTCTAGCAACGTGTGCTCTTTTTGCCCCGTGAACAAGATGGCGTATATTGCTATGAAACAAGATGGTGTATATTACCATGAAACAAGATGGCGTATATTACCATGAACAAGATGGCGTATATTACCATGAAAGACCTTATTAGAAAGCTTATTATTTAACTACATTTATTTAACTACATATATTTATATTACACTATGTAAACTGTTGCTTATGTATGTACATGTATGAATGGAAAACAAACAAACAAACAAACAAACAAACAAACAAACACCCCAACAGACAAACAATAAAGTTGATTAAAGTTCCCAAAGTGGCTTGAAGAATGAAAATGTATACAAAACATATGGACAAAATGTGGAAAGGAAAGACAAAAAGGAGGAAAAAATCTTAGCAACAACAATGAGATGGTCCCTACCTAGCATAGCCTTCAGCGTTGTGTTCTCATCTCCGTTTTTACCCTCTGTCTTGAGGCTAAGTAACGGCCCACTCAGTGCTTTCAGTATTGCCAGTGTGCTCTTGTACACAGCTACGGGATCGGACGGCTCCTCAGAGCTCTTGGGTAGCACCTTGAATCCAACGGTGGTGGACTGCGACTGCAAAGAAGATGTTAACACATTCATTCACTAAATGCACAAAGAAACCTTTGAATCTAAAAATTAATGTGGCCTGACGTTGCGAACTTAGCAAGTTCTTCTTCAGAGGCTAAAACAGTTTAGCCTCTGAAGAAGAACTTGCTAAGTTCGCAACGTCAGGCCACATTAATTTTTAGATTTATATATTTCAGGTCCATCCAGTCAGTAAGCAGTTTGCAGCAGTCTTACTTTTTTTCACAAAGAAACCTTTGCTTAGGAGTGCCCTGGCCTTGTGGTCTGGAGCATTGAATTCGTGGTCTGCGGGTAATTCTGCAGGTTGTGAGTTCGAGTCCAGCCTGCAGCTATGGTGTGAGTGCCCTTCGGCAAGGCACTTTGTCACTAATTGCTTCTCCCCACCCAGGAGTAAATTAGGTACCTGTGAGGGCAGAGATGGCTATTGTGATTGATTTTAGCTGCTTTGCGCCAAAACGGCAGCACCGAGCTATTTACTCCCCAGGGAGCTGAGATGGTATTTGGAATGTTTCATTGGCCCAATGAGCGGGGTATTAATGATGTAGCGCTTTATATATTCAACTTGTTATTAGGAACAACAGGTTATCAGTCGAAATGTCATTGCTTGGGCTGTTTCCCAGCTAATTTTTCACTTACCAAATCAATTTTCTGAGCAATATTTTCTGCTTAATAGCAGCTCTGCGAAATTTGTGTTTAACACGTTATTCTCTGCTAGCAGAGGATGTGTCCACTAAAGGGAGATCATAAGCAGTCAGTGTAGCAGGGAGCTTACAATTTATGTTTACAATTTATGCTTACAATTTATGAGACAGGATTTGCTTAAATTGTGACGCAACAATAGGCAGCATCAGCAAATCTATGCCTTGAAGCAGCGTTGTAATAAAGTAAGCACAATTTTCTCAACTGTAGCTGCTGGCAAAACCCGACTGAGAAACTCACACCCACGTGACCCAATAGTGTACTGGGGATGATTTCACAAAGACGCGTCTTAGGAAAGGTAACTCATCTTAACTCGTACTTGTCCTAACTTTCTTAATAGCAACGCGACTGAACTCGTCTTTAATTTGTATGTCGTCTGGAAATCATTGGCATTAAATACTAGTGTTGGCCTAGAGTTATAGTTTCGTGGAAGAAAATTGCTGTAAAACAGATTTGAGAGATTTCTGACCCGTGGGTAATTTTAATATAAAGACCTAGTTGATTTTGGGGGGCAAGAACGACATTTATTGCGTCATTGTTCTGGGGAAAGTTTGTGTTCTGTGCAAGCATGGAAAATTAGTTTCAACGACTGTTTCGTCAAGCGGTAAAAACAAACATGAAACAGCAATCAAATTGGTAGTTTTGATTTGTTTTGATTAGTTTTGATTAGTGAAATCTGTCTTCGGACGTGTCTAAGCTAGGATTGATCATACAGCACGGACACGCCTTAAGTCCTAAGATGAGTCGCAAGAGAAAACTAGTCACGTGAAATCAGCCTCTAGGCTGATGAACTGTAAGTCACCCAGCTTAACTTTTCCATGCCCAAACAAACGCTGTATATTTATGAACTTATAAACTTGTATAATTTGTATAATATTCATTTCTTCTTGTTCTTGCAAAAGAAACCAAAATGCACCTGTAAATTAAGACTTAATGGAGAATGACAGTACCTTTTTAGCTGCGTTAATTGCTGGTGCAATATTTGACAACGTCACAACTGGCTTCAGAATATACTCCATCAGTTTCTTTCCTGAAAATGGAAAATTTAGGAATGAAAGGATACAATGAGCGAATGTGATGTGATACATTCCTTTTGTCAATGCATTTTTGGTTTGTCAAAGCTCAGTTTTGAAAAACAGTCACTAAGAGAAGACAAACATTTAAGAAACTCACCGAAAACTTGCATTTTGCTCTTCAGAATTCCAACCTGGCTCATGGCATTGACAGTAACTGCAGCATTTTCACTGTGAACTGGTGAAAAAAAGTGTAAAACAAAATTTATTCTTGGGTGGAAAGAAACAACGAGTGACAAAATATCATGCGCACGGACACACGCACCACGACCCCAGGTTGGACTCCAACCCATAACCTACAGAATTACCCACAGATCCTGAAAATGATACTCCAGCCCACATGCAATAGCGTCCCACGACTTGCTGACCTACCGACTTTGAGTTGGACTTGGCTGACGTTGGTCAGGGTGACGGGTTCTTTGGCATGGGGTATGGTCCAGACAGTCATGGCAGACCAGGCCTCTCCTAGATGATGCAACAGCGTCTCTTGGTTCACTCGCAGCTCAGACTAAAACGGTGAAAAAACTCAAATCAGCAATGTCTCTTTCTGGCTGGCAAAATTTAACAACGTCACCCCAACTGACCTATCGCCGTTTGCGAGTTAGCCACGCCCCTTTAGACAACTCTATGGAATTTTTTGTACGCTACGGTTTGTTTGTCTCAGATTATGCGAGTTCCGCGTCAATTCATGAAGCTGAATGGACACAACTCTAATGCCATTCTAACAAGATAGGTCAATTCACTTTCTGCATCCTCACTGGCCTGCTGCAAGTAAACAGACAACGGATAAGCTCCTTACCCTTAGAGCCTTGACAATTTTCAGCTCACAGTATCCGTCTTCAATGAGAACGTCCAAATCAGATTTCTGCAGGAAAAAGAGAATCAAAATACATATGCCAAGTACAATTTGATTACAATGGATTCAAAGTTTACAAATCATAACCTGAAATTTGTCATTTTAAAAGCAAACTTCTTACAGATTAAAACTTTGCATTCCTTTTCAAACAAACTGAATTTGGAAAATGTACACCAAGTCTCATTTTAAATTGATTGGAAAGTTACTTTCACTTGTCTTTTACCAATTCATTGATGGCATCGGCTGCTTGCAGGAACTCACTGTTCTGGACGAAGCTCTGAAAGTCTGTCAGTAAACTGTTAACCTGTCAAACAAAACGGACGGACAAATCATTAATTGTCAGGAAAGCGTGGTTTCTTGAAATGAGGAGGGTGAATGAAATTAAGATGAACAAACTGACTTGTTAATAATGATTTTTTACGTCCGACCGTAATTTCATCCTCTAAATTGAGTCTACACCATGGAATCGCAAGATAAAAAGGTGGTGCTTATAACGGCGATTGTGTTGTGTTTAGGTCAAGTAAGGCCCGTTCTAGACACAGTGCTATTGCCGTGCTGAACTCAAGTAATTTGACTTCTTTAAATTCGGCCCGGCTATAACACGGCGTTTAGCACCATTTGGTTCGGCAAATTGACTTCGGCACGTCACTATCCTTTTGGCTCAATAGGGCTGCTGCGATGTTGTCGTTCTGTGTGGCAGCTACACAGTACTGTTCTAAACGCCGAGCCATTGCCATGCAGACCTCAATTCAATTGTAAGTTGGGGAAAGCATTTTAGGAATGCGCATGCGCACGATACCCTCTCTCGTGTCCGCATCACATTGGGTGAAATTGGCGCAAACAGTTTGAATGTTTATTAAACTGCTTAAACTGCTTTAACCTGGCCAGTTACTCCAGGTTCATTCAGGTTCAACTATTAGGTTTGGCATTTAGAGTTACTGCCGTGCTGTAGACGAGCTAGTGCTGCAATCCTTTTAATAAAGTTCGATGCCGAAGTAGAAAGGCGTCCAGAACGGGCCTTAGAGTCAAGAGTATGTTGGTCATTTCCAAATGACTTCTGCAACCTAAGGCCAAAAGAAAGGCTCCGGGTTCTGATATGGAGCTTGCCCCAAAAGTGGTGCGGCGACACATTTTTTTTCCCTCCCAACATTTTTTTTCTTAAAATGTCGGCTGATGTTGCAGATGATGCTGTGTTCACCCTTAAACTCTCAAATATGTCTTTCAGAGTGGAGCTTGAGGTGACCTATGTAAGGCCACAAGGCTTCAAAATTCTGCAACCACTTACGATCTCACCGACACGAACATTCTTTGGGAAATTTGGACAGTCAAGACAAAAATCAGAGAAAACGGTAACGTCAGACCTTACAGCGACATTGACATCATGAGCTGCCAGGCTGGTCATTAGTCTGGTCCCTTACACATTGCGCTAATTAAAAAGCGTTTACAGTCTGGCTTCCAGATGCACAATTACAAAATTACAACACCGTCTGCAAATGGTGCCTCACTAAATATAGAGCAAAATAAATGATTTTTTTTTACAGATTTGAAAAGAGCACAATCTCAGCATTACTGCTGTGAAAACCGCATGCTGGTACCACATTTAGTTCAAAACTTATGGAAGTCGGAACACCAAGAGAGGTGATGAAGTGATGTGATGAAGTGACCCTATTTTGGCCTGAATCTCCAATTGAAAGTTCCCGACAAACGACTCATTTAGCTTGATCGCATCACATATGGTCTCAACCCTCACAGGTAACTATTTGTACACCTGGAGAGAGACAACTGCGGTAAAGTGTCTTGCCCAAGAACACAATCACCTGTCTTGTCATACAGGGTTGATCATTACCTTGCATAGTGACTGTAGCACATCAATGATAGCGTTAGTTTTCTCCAACTGTCTGGTGAGGTCATGAAGATCACTGGTGGAGCTGTTGAGCTGGGAACTGATGTCTCCCTGAATGCAAAAAAAAAAAAAAGATACCAAATCGACTTCTTTTGACAATAAAAAGTAACATCTTAACCAGCTCGTGTCGGATGACGTGATAACACCCACTGGCTGTTTTATACACAGGCAGGGCTGATAGATTAAGATGTCAAAATTGCCACAACTTGCTTTCGGGTGACGTCTAAACACGTTAATCCCTTTTGCTTTTTGTACACACATACATAGTCTGTGAAGCGTCCTGCTTTTTTTTTTTACCAAAGTGAGGACTTTCCAATGGTTTCTTTTGGTAAAAATGTTTTCTTAATTTAGCACTCTTAATTTGTATTTGTCAAATTTTGTGCATTCCTTCAACTTCTGTCAGCAAATTAAGAGACAAATTTCACATGAAGGAACCATTAAAAAGTCCTAGTTTTAGTGAAAAAAGGGATTCTTGGGTAAAAGAACCCCCACGCCAAGTATCAGGTAGAAATATTTCCGTGAAAAAAAAATACCATCATTTTACCAATTTTTGTGCTCACATTTGTATGGCCCTTAGCAAGGAGTTTACTCCAGTGCGTGGCCATAGAATAGGCTAGGTTTTTACCAATGGTGCATTAAGTCAAAAACCATTGCCACAGACAACAATGCCTGTCTCATCAGACACAGCCTCACATACCTAGTCTAGGAGCTAGACGATGTTATGGTCGGACTCAATTACCTGCTGCAATGATAACCCGCCATCGCAAGAGGTCGCAAGAGGTCGCTATCAAAACCAACCAATATCCCCCACCATTGGAACGTCTAGGCCAACTCCTAAAATCTCTCCCTCTCCCCCCCCCCCCAAAAAAAATGGGGGAAGTGCGCATGCGCTACTTCCGCAGGCAATTACTGTTCATTTTCAGTCCCACACAAACTACACACAACAAAAGTGCTGACCAGTGAAGTTGCACAAACATCTTGCTGCATCTTTTACGTTACTTGAAGACATTTGAAAGTTTTCTTGGGAACTACTATGAATTTTTTTTAATGCGCGCTGCATATATTAGGCCAAAGGTACGTGCACATTACACAACCAGTAGGAATTGGCCTATACGTTGTTCCGACGGGTTCGTGGGTGATATTGGTTGGTCAGTGGGTGTGGGTTTATCACTGCAGCAGGTTATTGCATATCAAACCATAACAATGTCTAGCCCTAAGCCTCAGTCATACATTCACTGTTTGCAGCTACAGCTATCCACAGTTTAGAATTGTGATAACCGTGGGAGTACTGTATTCATCCTAAATATCTGCGTGGTTATCCCTCATCTTCCTTTGGTATTCATGGAGGGGCTACGGAACTTTTAAACTGTTCCAAACGTCCGTGGAGAATCGTCATGAAAATCAATGCGCAGTGAAACCCGGGGACATCCATAGAACAACTGTACTAATTCGTAGTGTTATTTGTAGCTATTCGTGCATACTCTTGGAGATTTGTAGCTCATTCGTGGTGGAATCTCTACGAATTCACTACAAATGTCCTACGGTTATGCCCAGATATGCTAGAATTCTGCTAAGGTTGTACTACGAATATGACTATGCTTTATTTGTAGGAGAACCTTGGTCATCCGTGGCCCAATCGCAGACAACTGTGGCATTAACATCATTATTCTTGGTAATACTGTCAATATTCATAAACAATCCGTTCAAGAAACTGTGGTGTATTCGTTGAGAAACCTCCGACAGTTGTGGCTATCCGTCCTGAAACCCTAGTGCATTCTTAGAAAGTCAATTTCTCCACCAGTCTTGACGGTTAATTGTGATCAATTGATTCTTGGTAAACCGTGGATATTCGTAGGTCCAAACGTGAATGTGTTACTGGAGCCTTAAGACTATGACATACCTTGATCTTATTGCTGAGAGTCTGCATCTCAGTGGACAGTGTCTGCACCTTGTTGTGTAGCTCCTGGGTGGAGTCCCTGGTGGGTCTGTAGTTGGCATACTTCTCGTGTACGGCATGGTAGATTTCACCCTTGATCTCATCAATGTGAGTTGATAATTTGCCGATGCGCGTCCCCAGGTCTTCCTTTTCCAACAGATCTGGGCAAAGAATTACAAAATATTGGTGAGTAAAAAACACCAAAACCCAATTTTCGAATGAAGTTTTGTCTGTAGCACTTTTAAACTCTGGGATATAAAAACCCAATCAATAAGCTTGTGGACTTGTGACGGTTAATACGGCACGTATGTTTCAGCCGCTCATTTAGTTTGCGCGTATGCGCACTCAAAATATGAAATACTGATAATCAGCAAACATGGATGCCTGCAGTCACAGTTTGAACCACTGAAGTATCGGTCAACATCACACTCGAAGTACTTTGATAAATTTTTCTTTCCACGTGGACAGGAATTTAAGGCAATCAAAGTCACTTTTGCAAACCTTAGCGCTAAAAAACAGAGAGTTTTTGTTGCAATTTTTTTGTTTTTCCGTGTCGTGTAGTAGGAAAGTATTGGGTCACAAATTCAAAACAGGCGACAGTTTAGGGGATAATTTTTCAGTTTTGCCGAGTAATTGTAAACTTGTCTTCACTGAAAAATGGTAAAGGATGCCACGGAAAGTGCGATGTATAAATATCATTTAAGTCGGAAACTGTTTTAATGAGAGAAGTATTAAAGGTCTTACGTTATACGTTTTTTTTTCATTGAATGTAACGTAAGTGTGCACGTACCTGTACACAGACCCTGGAATTTGGCCAGTTAACATGGCTAGCCACGCGCCACGTCGCTCCGTTTGTAATCTTTCGACGCGTTGGAAATGTATGCATTTAATTGAAACGATTTACAACTGACTGGTTCCCGGCCCAGAAATGCAGTTAAGTACGATCATAGAGGGCACTGGGACCAGTGTATTTGTGCACGAAGCTTTCAAAATGGGTTTACTCAAAAAATGACGATTTTTATAAGCTACAGGTTTCCTTCTTACATCAAATCACCTGTAAAATGAAAATAATCTATCATCCTTTTCGATGGTACTATGGCTGATCTAGGTAAACCCGGCAAATTGTCCAAATGTGTAAACCAAACTCAAAAGCAAACGATGATTTTCCTCTTCATTTTGTACGTTTTTTGTCCATAATTAGTGTTTTTTTAAATATATTTGAAAAGGTATTTAGCGCCGTTACCACACTGTAGAGACAATTTATATCTTTGTTCACTTGGTCTACTGACAATTTTTGGTTTGAATCATCTTTTAAGTACGTTTGAGAAGGATACATTTTAAGACATGAAAAACAGACAATCGCTCAGTGCGTCGTCTGCTACCGCTGTTTGCAAGCCGACGTTGCGGAGAAAACCATTGCGCATGCGTGAGAAGATGAACTAAATGCACGCACGGTCTATGGGGCTGAAACATACGTGACGGAGGTAGGCCTTCATGGCCTTGTCCAGTATTTACTGTAGTGTCACATTTATGGGGCTAATGACGTCATTGGTCATTGCCAATTGTTCCAATGGGTCAAGAAATATCAGAATGTCAATTTTGAGTGTCATGATTTAGTCAACTGTTTTGGTGAGTCTTTCCCTTCTTATGTAGGAACAGGGTCCTAATACTAAGGATTACCGGGCGAAGTGACCGACACCCGTTCTCATACTTTTTATCACGTAACCGATGCAACAATAATGATCGAATATTTACCAACCAAAAAGCGTTTCAAATACTCGGCCTACATAGGAATTAAATGCACTAAGTTTTTATTTTTCCTACAATAATCCCTGGAACTGTATTGAGAGAACCTTTGTCTGAAAGGTTAGTTTTATTGGAAAACAGCTGAGTTTTACCCGTGTTTGCGAGCAGAACATCGGTGACAAGGGACGCCATCTTGATACTCGGATCTGCCGCCGGTACAGCGCCCTCTAAAAAAATCTTTTGAGAGTGGCGTTTCTGAAATTTCGGATTAGCTTCGGCTCAGAGTCATGACTGTCTACGTAATCATTTCAACAACTAATTAAACAGTCTAATGCAAGCATAACAACTGTAACATTAGAACTGTTGACAATCGATGTTTTCAATGCAGAACAAAGACCGTTACCAGTTTATACAAAAATTGACAAAATAACATCGCAGGGGAAGTGAAAGCTGCGTTTCAAACGAAACCAATGTTTATAAAAAATCCCAAGGTATGCCCTTGGTATGACGTACGCCACGTGATGGCGCGCACAGGTGGTGGTGTTTTGTGACACTGACAGGTGCAATGAATGGATAATATTCACACGTGGTGGTTTGTTGTCTGCGTGCGCTGCACGAAAATGTAACAATGCCCGTCTCGCAAAAGTTGGTGTGTCCCTTGCCCTATGATGTCGTTGCCATGTTGGGTCATGCAACTTTCTCCAGATTCGTTGTCGTGGTATGTGTTGCATCTCTACTTGTGAGGTGGTTTCAGTGTGTCCGTCGTCAACTCGATTTTCTTAAAACCTGAAAAACTGCAAGAAGTTCTTGGTCCGGTCGTGAGTATTTAGCAGGGAAAGAATCGTATACCATTACCAAGGTTGCGATCATGGCGATGTCCATTTACAAAGCGCGGGGTTTGCAATCGCCCCAATCTTTTGCATAAACCGCAGATCTAAAATTTTCACATAATCGTAATAAACATGTTGGATGTTGAGCATGTTAAGGAAGTGACAAGCTGGTAGTGGTTACTCACGTATGTCATAATATGTGCATTCCCCCCCCCCCCCCCATGTTGAAGCACTTGAAAGTGTTCAACATATTTAATTGACCTGATCGAAGATCAATCTGATAATTGACAATTATCATGTACCATACAAAAACAGGGCTGATGGCTTTCAGGGACTTCATTCATCCTTGCAACATATCTCTCTCTGTTATTTTAGTCTCTATGGTATTGGAGTGGTGATGTGAAGTTGGGTTTACAGGAAATAATGCTGGGTTCCTTTATTTTCAATAGGGCCCAAAGAAATATTGATTGTGAAAAAAATGCAAAAGTCATATCCGTCACACCTTTTGTGACGGAAATGACGATTATTATATTACTTGGCTTTTGGAGGTATAATTACCTTTGCAAGTTGTTTACTTTACAAATTATGGCAGTAGGTACATATTGAGAAATACACTGGGACATGCACTTTGAGTGGGTTTTGAGGGAGTATTGTCAAGAATGATCATTTTGTCCATTATTTTAAGGAGTTCTTAACACTGCACATAATAGGAGTCGTGTTTAAGTAATTTTACTGCTTAAAAATCTAATTTTCATTCTATATTTTTTTTGATTTATAGTGCCTTAAAGTGTCGGGACATGAAAGTAGACACTTGATATTAAAGAATGACCCATAGGCCCCTTTTTAATAAGAACTTGCTGGGAGTGTACATGCCGGAAGAAATTCATGATAAACATCTCCAGCATTTAGGATGGAGATAAACCCACGAATGATTCTAGCGTAAGGTTGATGCATTGGCAGTTGTTCTGTTTAATTATGTTCACTATAGGGTGTCAGTGGGTACATTGAATGTTTTGAAAAGAAGCTGAAACAATTAGAAGCAGTAAGTGAAAATTAACAAAAATCCACTTTGACAAAAGATGTATTATAAATTTAATATACATGTAGCCAGTTAAACTGTGCACATTAGTTTAATTGTGCTTTTAACAAATTCAATAAATATATAAAATCTGATATCAACAAGTAATTTTATCCTCTGCAGGCTGAGTGTCAACATTAAACTGAAATCCACAGGCAAAAGGGGAACTATGTATTGGTGGAGTGAGGAAATTATGGATGTGACATTTACACATTTAAACATTTAAAACAATAAACAAAATTCAAAATCTTATTTTTCCAAAACTTTCAACAAAATTCAAATTTTAAAAACAGGAACCTATTTTCCACTATCTTCCTTTGAGTTGAGCATGCATAGCAAAAAATAATTAGCAATGTTTTCAAACCTATTCAATTTGCTGAAAGCTAAGGAGAACTGCAGTACTAGATTACTTTCAGTCTACGTGCTCATCTTTTTATTGATTTCAATGACAGCCCTCTTTTTATTATGTTACTCATTTATTATTTATTGTGTCGATCATGTTGGTCTGCACAATGGGCAGTCGTCAGTCTTTGTGAAAGGGCTCAACATTGAGATGGTTCTTTAAATGTTTGCTAAACATTTACAAAATGAAACGTCACATCCTTAGAAGACATTGGAGGAGGAGGTCTAAGAAATTGGAGGAGGAAGGCAATTGGAGGTCTGTGGATGTTTGAGCTACTACGTACATGTAGAGGGTAACAGATGTCTCTGATGGTGATGCTGAAGTTTTGCAGAGCTATCGTCTGTTTGCTGACCTTCATTGCTAGACGGACAGAGCATGGATGTAGCTGCTTGATACTCATGATGATGGTGTCCCTTTTGGTGAGTGCTGGGTGTTCACTGATTTCCTGTAATTCTCCCCATCTGCCATGTGCTCTGTGTTTGTGCTGTCTGGCGTTGAGTTCTCTTGCTGGTGTACCCAGTGTACACCTTCTGCATTCGCAGGGGATGCATCAGGTTCGGTCTTGGAGGCTTGCTTGTCCTGTGGGCTATTGTGGATCTTGTGGGTGTGGAAAGCCCGGATACCTTTGTCATTTAGGAAGTACTGGATGTGATGAGAACTGCCTGTGTTGGGCTGTGTAATAGGCGGGGTGAGCCTTGTGGGTTCGACCTTGGGTGTAGGGGACCCTTTGGTAGGTGAAAGACTTTGGATCTTGCGTCTTGACTGGATGAGCCTTGAATCTGTTGTGTTGTAGTGCTGTCTTGATATGGTAAAGTTGTTGCCGGCCAGGATTGTGGTTGCCGATGCAGGCTTCCTGGACAAGGTTGCTCTTTGACTGGTGTTTGGATTTCCGGGTGCAGGAAGGATTGGTTGTCGATGTTGCCAGTCAGTGTCTGTCGGTCATCTCTAATAGACTCAGGGGTCGAGGGTGTTGTCAGACTGTTTTCAGACCTTAGCATCCGGGGATGAGATTCAAGGCGCCTGATCCTCACTGCGCCAGATGCTGCTGTAAATCCAGTTGAAGTCTTTCAGGACCTGCTGGAGGTCCCATGCTGTATGATGAAGTGATGAGAGTCTCATCCATGTACTGAAGACAAACTCTTGGTCTCAGATCTACGAAGGCAGTACTCCTATATGAAGGCATTGACTAAAACTGGGGATAGAGTTGATCCTGTGGAAGTTCCAGAAGGCTGCTTGGACAACTGGCTGTTCATTGGAAGAAAGACAGCAGGATGTAGGTGGGTCGCAGATCATGAACCTGGTTTGGAGTGTGGGGCTTCATATTTCTGCAGGGCGTAGTCAAGTCGGAGTCCCCCTTGGCACCGAGGCATGAGTAGCCTGTGGGGATGGCAGTGAATATCTGGTAGCCTTCATCGGGGTTGACCATGGTGTCGTTGGGAACACTGTGAGGTTGCGCTCATGGTGTCATTGGGATCATCACCCTCACCATCCCCATCACCCCCACTGGCGGCCGCCACCACCCCCCTCACCCTCACCACCACCATCACCATCATCATCATGCTGCTGCTGCTGCACTGCGCTGCGCTGCGCTGCTGCTGCTGCTGCTGCTGCTGCTGCTGCTGCTGCTGCGAAAACCTTTACTTGTGATCCCAACAAAGCCATGTGCAGCTTCAGTGGAGACTCCAGGTATTCATCACCAATCCCATGGGTGAGGCATGTCTCAAGGTCTCGGTCAGGAAACCTTCATGAAGACAAGCTGTGTGAGTGTGAAACCCTCTCTCTGGATTAGGTTTGTGATCTCCTACCCATCTACATCCTGCCGTCCTTCATCCAGTGGACAGGTCAATTCTTCAAGCAGTCAGCTGGAACTTCCACAGGATTAACCCCATCTCCAGTTCTGGCCAATATCATCATATAGTTCTGTACAGCTTTCGTGGATTTGAGAGCAACAGTTATCTTCAGTTTGTGGATGACACTTTCATCATTTTATCACACAGCACAGTACCTCCAGCAGTTCCTGAGACACTTCAGCTGGTTCACACACAGCAGCATCTGGCTCACCTTGGATCGAATCTTCTTCCTGGATATTGAGGCCTCCAGGCAGTCTGGCAGTATTCTCAGCCCTTTTGTCTATCAGAGAGCCACACATTGATAGGCATCTCCACAATCAATCTGTCCAGTGCCCTGGGATCTATTCATCAGTCATTGGCACCCTTGTCTGGCAATCCTTCATCATTGACCACGATCCTTTGCTGCGACAACTTTGCTATGTCAAGGCAACAATCCAACACAACCGATTTGGGGTACATCAAGTTGAGACACTTGATCTGAAGTCTTTCACTGACTGAAGTGTTTCGTATACTCAAGGTCTACCCATCAGGTTCATCTGGTCCATTACACTTCCCTTCATAGGCAGCTCTTATTGCATTTAGTCCTTCCTGAATGACACTGGCATCTAGGTTTTCCATGCCTAACATGATCTGCAATAGCCTACAAGGATGAGTAAGACTCTGAGACCTAACCTGATGTAACACCTGTGAATACAGAAAGGTCTGCATTGGGTACATCGGTGAGGATCTTAGTGCTGGACTCCATGAACACAAGGCGCATGGTTCTTTGGGGAGATTGCAGGAAATTTTTGATAATTCAGCATTTTACCGATCGGTAGCACCTCATCATAAGTATTGAGTACCACAATCCTTGCCGAGTCTGAAAGGCCTTGGATGTCTGGCACAGGATTTTTCTGCAGGACATCAGTTCCATCATCAGTGATATCTGGAGTCCTTTGCTGTGCTAGCATCTCAATATTCCACAGGCCTCCAATACTCACTCCACCAATAGTTCCCCTTTTAGCTTGTCTGTGGGTGTCTGTCCTCAAAACTCAGCTCTGTAAGTAACATTCATGTACATGTACTCACTTGACATTCTATAGTGAACAAAAATTGC